CATCATTCTCTTTCTTATTGCCACCCTGTGGAGATGTACTGAGTACTAGAGAATACATTTTTGTTTTTGTTTTGTGTGAGCTGCATCCTATTTCGTATTAACATCTATGAATTTATGTCAAGAAGATGATGGAAACAGACCTGGATAAACGCCGGCCTGTCTATATTGCAGAATTGCATGCATACCTTTTCCTCGGCTGATCCTAGGAGATTGTCACCACGGTTGGGATCAGTTTCATCCTATCGCTATTGTCCTATATACACGGCTACCCTTATGCATCGCCTGGTCTTTACCCGCATTATCCCAACTTGTGCCGACTACTATCAATATACGGCTCCCAGGGATCGATATTGACATGACAATATGTACTCTTCAACTACTCTCCCTCCACATACCTCCTGGGACCATCGTGACTAGACTAGTCTTTCGTCGCCTGACTTAAGAGATACTCCTGCCGGCTTTGACCTCTGCTCTACATCATCGTACTTGTCAATCGTTGGGTGTCTCCTCGTGGCACTTCGACCTGATGTTTCTACTGCATCGCCAGATGTCGGCTTTGACCATCAGAATTCCCCACTTCATTTACCGGGAGCTTCAACACTGTCGATCAGGCCCTTATCCTTCCCTCTATTGTGGATAGACTTGAGTTAAAGGGTAGTGGATCCATGGATGACCAGCTATCGTGTTTTGTCAAAGCCAGCGCCGGTTCATAAAGCCATCACGCTGCCTCTCAGGCCCATCCTGTCTCCTGTCATTTGAATAAGGCCTTTGCTTCTTTTTAACATTTACAAGATCGACTGCAAACTCAATTTAACCCTGGCACTCATGGTCTGTCTTCAACTGCTGTTTCTCCGGAGTTGGATGGGGATGTCGCTACGCTCTGCACCAGGCGCTCCTCTGCTTCTTCTATTGTGGAGTGAGTATAGTTTTACACCACGTTTAGCAATGTTCCAACAATATCATGGTGGGGTACACATGAAATGGAGTTCATACAATTTACCTATGTGGGGAATTGAACCCGGGCCTTCGGCTTGACGAACAAGCACTTTAACCACTCGGCTACCCCACCCCCCTCTATTGTGGATAACAGAGATCTTGCCCTCTTGGATACTACCATTTGCTACCATTCATTTTAACCATCCTGTCAGCAACGGAAGCCATCGCTGCATCAGAAGACGCCATTGCTCTGATTCATGAGCACCATGCTGGTTCCATCACAGCTCTATGCTGCCGGGTAGTCCTCCCGGCCTGTCAGTTGGATGACTACTTCAAGGCACGGTTATATTGACTACTCTGGTCTACTTGATAACTGTTTGCCAATGGTATCTAGGATGTCATTCAGGATGTTACTCAAGATACTTATCTCCAGTTGTCCATGTACCTGCTGAAACTTCAGAAACACAGCCATCAACAGCAATTCAACCCTTCTCAGCATCATCTCCATGAGGTTATTGGATCTAGCCCCAGTTCATTTTGTGGCAAAGGCCATGGTCGTCAAGGTTAAAAGTCCTCCAACATGCGTTCTGTCTCCTTTACTGCCTTGGACATCAGAGAGTCAGTCAATTCAGTGACCTGCCTCTAGGTGACGTCCCTGGCAAGACTCGGTTTTTTTTCACGAGAAATGGTCCATCCTGGCCACTAACTTTGTCATGCTCCTCCTACTGAACGGGTGCTGGCTCCTCCAACAAACTCCACGCCCCACCAGCTACGGTATCCGGCCAGCCAGCTTTCAGCTCTGCAAGAAACAATAGGTATGTTCATTGCCAAACAAGCTCAAGATTGTCTAGGCCCAGACCCAGGTATCCCGGGCCTCAATGATGGTCTTGGCTACTCCAAGTGGACGTCCATCTTGTTCCTGATGTTTCGACTTCTTCCAGTTGATCAACATCTCTTTGACACATTGACCATGGGTTGGGATGTGCAATTAAATGATCTACAGGTGGCAGGGCGTTAGTCTGTCAAAGACAATTGACTCCATATCAACAACTTTGAGTTCAATGTGGTCATTCCTGTGGGCAGAGCTCCTTTGTGCATTGCATCAGACAACATCTCGGTCATCTGGTGTAGTAACAAGATTGGCTCCACCAATCCACAATAAGATGGTATTTTTCTCCTGGCCCCTGCGACAGCTACTAGCGTGGGTGAAATCCATGCTCTGAATGTTAACCGGGACCAGTTTAAGAGAATGCGAAGGTCTGTCTGGGGCTTCGCTGGGACTTCATCTTGAAGACTTCATCGCTTCCAGGACAGGTCGTTGGCATCCATCCTCAACCTAGAAGACTGTGAAGACATCTCCCTGTGCCTGGTCAGAGCACTCCGCATCAACATTGAGGCTGCAAGGCCACTTTTACGTGCCCGCAAGAGACACTTCATCCCACTTTCCAAGGCGGCCAATACGGAAGTCTACCGTACCAGTCTCTTTTTGGCTCCGCTCAACTATTCTTTGGGCCTACGCCTTTGTTGGATTATCTCAGGACATGAGAGCCGTAACTTCTACCATGGCCCTGCACAGCGATTGTACTCTGTCCGCCAGTATGAAGTGTTGTTTTTGGAAGTCCTATTCTGTCTTCTCTTCCCACTTTCTATGTGACGTCTCAGTCACCGATGTTCAGGGTCTACACCAGTTTGGTCCCTTGAGTCCTGGCGCAACAGTTGACAGCTACACTCCAGGACAGATAGATAATACTTGTACCCGCTCCTGTAGTCAGTACACCATATCCTGTATATACAGAATAAATATTGGAATATTATATAAATATAAATATATAAACACTCCTGTATTTATTGTCATTATTATTCAGGTTCCCAGACTGAATACCCAGTGGAGGGTGAAGTAACTCATCTGTAGAGACACCGGTCTTCAACATCGAAGTTGCCACTGTTTCGGCGGTGTCCTGAGCCCTAACCTGCTCACCTCTGCCTTGTGCACGTGATGTCTCAGTGTTGGTTTGAAGAATCTCTTATGAATGTTTTCAATCTATCCTCTAGCATGCTTCAATCCCGTGGGTATGAATGATAGCTTTGACGAAGCGTCAAAGAGATGCCAAACTGGCTCACCTAATTGTCCGTCGGAGTTATTGGTGTGGTCTGTCTTGTAGAACTGATTGGCTGCAGACCCCTTTCCGGATTGGTTATCAGTCGTACGCTGAATAGATCTCTAATCAAATCATACGTGAAACCATGTAACTCATGTTATACCCGATCTGATGTTGTTTCATCCAACTAGTGTAAAGGGGTAACATCACCTATTATGGTGTTTTTACCCATTCAAAGTTCTTGTCTTTACTACACTTGACAGTGTTGTAGCTTATTGTTTGTATCATTGTTTAGAACCAGCTTCCTCATGTACGTCTCACGGTTGCAGTCTATACAGGCTTGGGTATTTGTGTGGCAGATGTAGTCAGGTGATTAGTTCTTGCTAGGTCACAAAACACGGGATTACAGTGCATGACTCATTTGTTTGGGTGGTGACCATGGTGATGCTGGTATGTGTTTTGGAGAAATGTTTTAAGAAACTGGCTTCTTTATTCAAACATATTTCCACACTAGAATCGCATAGTGTGAGAAAGGATAAGTATTATAGATATACAATATAATGTAATATGTCCATTTTACTAGGGCCGTTACAATTCACTCGCGTATTCGGTGAATCGAACCACATCTATTCATGAATTGAATTCGTTATTCATGGACACTAGAATCGAATATTTATGAATATGCAATCATGTGCATTTATGTTCCCTGTACCAAAAACATCCATAAGAACATATGATACGCATAGATTTCTTTAAAGACAACACTATTATAATATTATATTTGACAGGAATTTGGTCCCTGGTCATTGTAGCATTTGAGCAGGTTCTAAGACTAAGTACTTGGACAAGTGTAGTATATAAATGTATAATATAGAAAATTAACAAACCATGTCAAATAATTTATGTTGTTAATGTTTCACTGAATATAACAAATAATACATCAACTGCTGTCTTATTATTGTATTAGTGAATTAATATTTGTATTCATTACCCTATATTTGTGATACGAATCGTATTCGCCTCATAGTGTATTTGTTGCAGCCCTACATTTTACCGGACCAATTTTCAAACTCAGTCTTGACAACTTTTATTCATGTAACTTTAGCAGTTTGAGAAAACTTGTCCCCATTTCATGCAGTATGCACTAAGTTGAAAAGCAGTAAGCAACGGCCATAACTCTGTAAAAAAATAATTTAAGACACAAATTTTTAAAATGTTTTTTTCATTAAGATCGTAACCAGTAAAATCAGTGGGTAAAATTGAGAAAATTTGTCCCCATTGACCATGTTGAAAAGCGGATGATGGATGGATGAACGCCTTTCCTCTATCATCCACCTCACTTCCTAGGGATAATAAATAATAAAATAAATACTGTTGATCTAATTGTATTTTCTTTTGAGTTAACGCAATACTATATTAACTAAGTATACGATAATGAGAGTAATGAATCAGACCACTGAATGAGTAAATATATCTGTTTATTGGCAACAACATAATTTATTTGGATTTATGAATAAATATCATGAGTCATGTGAAAACGCAAATTAATAATCAAAACAAAATGACAAAACAACAACATATTAAAAAACATGTAATTTGAATTAATCACTTTTTTCAGACATTTATCTTAGATTATCAGTTGAACATGAGATCTAGGGTACCGTATTCGACGTAATAAGCGCCCAGGGCGCTCTCAAAATTAGAAATAGGGGGCTCTTATTAAAATATTATTTTGGTGAAAAAAAAACAGAGTTGAAAGATAAATTTCGTGTTCATGTACGACAGTTATATTTTTCCAGAATTTAATTGCCCATAATTAAGGTTGCATTTAACACACAAGTGTGTATCATACGCGAATAAATAAGTCTTGTGAACATTGATCAATCGGAAGGGGTGCTAATTGGGATTGTTCACTAGCCAATATATTCGCAAATATCGCCGTGGGCGCTTATTAGAGCGGGGCGCTTATTACGTCGAATACGGTATTTTAATGTCCTAGCCTCTTGTGCTTATTTCCCCAATTGGATAAAGAGATTTATGTGTGACCAGTATGAACATGCATCACTATCTGCATGAAATGTAATATCATGAACTTGAATTTGCATATGTGAATTTCTGCTTGAAAACTGACAGGCCTAATTCAATTTGTTTAACCTGTTTCATTGCGTGACCTTTGAGGTAAAACAATGTAGAACACTGAAACAAACATTAAACTGAACCACAGGGTATATGTAATTCAAAATCTGAGAAAGGGAGACTAACACTAAGAAACATGTACCCTTATATTCAAATGAATACAATAATGTATATGAATAGATAACAGATCTTTGAATTTGTTGCTATAAAGAGACAGAAATATGTGTAGGAATCCTGCTCAGCAGTTCATGGTATATCAAACAAGGGTGTACATAATAAAACTGCAATATATTATTAGTTCTTAGGCAAAGAGAATATTGCATAGCATGAAAGCATTTTGAATAGAGCTTCAAAATTCTTCCTGCCTAGTTACATTTTTTTCCCTCTAACTAAAACAATAGCAAGAGTATTATTCAGGTACATTTTGCCCATGTTTATTAAGGTGACCACTACTAAACACACATTCAGTCATGTTATTAATCCCCTCAATACAGTAAATGTAAATACAAATTTGTTAATTAACGACAATTGAAGATTTTGTTTTGGTATGTTTCCATGTTACTCTTTGTAATAATACATAACACAGTTCAAATAATAGCATGATAATATGATTAGAAATGAATCAATATATGTTGCGGGCACTTTTTTCATGTTAGGTAGGTGGCTATTTGTTCATACATAATGAAGACTTTTCACGAGTTTCACTTTTGACAAATTACCATACTATAGTTCAGTGGTATTCTCAAACTGATCACATAATATTATCAATAACAATGAAATTGTCTGAAAATGTAACTGACAGTAAGTAAGTTTACATTCTTTTTTATCACACTGGTTCCTATGTCATATATATATACATGTAATAGCAAAAAAATTGAGTTTCTTTCAGCCTGAACATACCTACGTTTCCTTATTTTTCACCCCTAACCATGCTATCTAAAATGATATGTATCTTTGATAAGCCATGGTTAGAATAAAACTCAAAAGTTTTACTAGACCAGGTAAAGATACAATACCCTTGTAACGTTAAAACAATTGGGCAAATTGGAGGCTTGTACTAACCATGGGCTGGAGGTGTAGTGGTAAGTTCTAACCCTTGAAAATATCAGAGAGTGTAATATGAGTGTACATGTATGTAGCATAACAGAATTGAAACTAGGCTTTATGAATCAATGTCATAGCCATTTCTATTACATTTCAATTAAAGCAGTTTATTCTACTGAACAATCTGAGCTTTTATTCTGATAATTCTCTCCACATTTGCAGATTCTTCTAAAACAGCATACTTTTGAGGCATCTTTTGACATTTGATATTTGGTGTTGATTCTGCAACAAAAAACACAAGTTTATCACTTGGATCACCAATAATAACTTTCACAACTTAGTTTTTAACATGTCGCAACCAACCAAAACAGTCCCTAGCTATTCCAAAATCAGGAAAGAAAGTAACCTGTCTATACTTGATCTACCTCTATCTAATGAAACTCCGGTTTTACATAGCTTTTTGATTGTCTATTGTTACCAGTTACACACAAAATTATTGTCTGTGTACAACCAAAAATTGAAGTATTTGAAGAGAGAAAAGAGACCTTACAGCAGATGTGCTTTAGAAGGCAACCTATACTCACAGATTCCAACAAGAGTTTCTTCTGGAGGGCTGCCATTTCTTTCTTCATAATCTGCTTCAGGTTATGCTGGAAAAATATATTTTCTTAATTGAGAATTGTTATGTGGTTGTGGGTTCATGAGAAAATAAAATGACAAAACACAATCAATGTCACCAATAATACAAATGACACATTACACAAGTCACTGAACATGACATTACATGCATAAACAGAATATTGGATCAGAATGACAACAGCCATTTTCATGATGCTACTGTAGTGGCTGGAAGCTGTCGGATACGCAGTCTTGGGAGATGAGTGCCATCACAAAAATGAGGTTGAACTAAAAGTTGCTCTCTAGTTACTTCGATGCAAAAATCAATATACATCTACTCACTGTCACATCAAAGACAGTGTGTAAAGTAAGCAGAACGGCCCGTCATAGGTTTATCTGTACCAATTCCAACATGAGCGTGTTTGTTACAACCCAGAGAAAGTCCTGACACGTACTATGCAAAACATTCCTGCCAGTTGAATATTGTATCTTTGCCTGGACTGGTATCCTCTCCAACACGGCACCACAAGGCTTGTAGTGCAGTGATGATCACATGTGCTTGAGAGCAGGTAATAAGGTATATGTTCTTGTCTCACACTCAGGGAAAAACTCCACACATTTCCATCACGTGACAAAACAGATAGAACTGCATAGCACACACACAAAAACAGCATCCCGATTTCCGAAGAGATAATGGTGTCAGTGCAGCCAGTTCCCTGTAGAAAGCGTGACATGACCGAAGCATTAGCAAGTTGATCGCCATGATATCCGATGCATGTAAATAAGTCAGAAATGTCAAATCTCTGTCGATCGCATGAGTAAATATGTGGCTCAAGATCCAGTCGATTTTCATTCCCTTGATAGTGTCTTTCTTGAGGAGTAAAATTTCCGGATCTGGATCGTTAATAAGTTAGCAATGTCCTAGAGCAACAGATTAAATGAACGTCGAGGAGAGAGACTGTTGATTCCATAAAGTTGGTAAGGGAGGGCGATGCCAATGACTTAATGTCTCCAAACCGACATCGTTAATCCAATCCAGGTCATGTGGAGATGAAAGAGTTAGTAGGAGAGCGACCATGGTTATGTTGATGTCAACCACCGAGGCATTGATTTGTGTATTGAAGTCAATTCTGGTGTTGCTCCAAGGTGGCGTGGCATTGTGGGTCTGATTTGGAAGATTGAGATTGGCCAGGGTGATTCAACGTAGACAAAGCTCCCAGCAGAAGAGGAAGGGGGCATCGTGATGATCCAAAACAATGTCTGGCAACACAGTAGAAACCCAAGGTTTAACAGGACTTATAAACCTATCATGGTGTTGTAACCATCTCCAAGACGACCTTTCTTTTGTAGTAAGACCACTCAGCAGGTTTTACAATTGCTCCTCAGGTTTTACAATTGCTCCCCAGGTTTTACAATTGCAATTGCAAATTTTAGCAACTTCATCATCTGACAAAGGGTCACCAAAACGGAAACAAAAGTCATCCTCATCCTTTTCTGCAGAACTTTCATCAATTAACTTACTTTGAGTAAAGAAAATATCGTCATCGTCAGACATCCTCTCTTGTGAACAGTCAACGACACAATGCCATGTGGTACGACGCACGCGGTTCTTTCTGCACGTACAGCCCTCTTCTGCATGTGCAGTCCGCGCAGCGGCCCGCGATAACAACTGTTATAAAGCGCGTCTCTAAGGTGATCTCCATGATCGCTGTAACGAGAGTGATCCCAAGCGTGAAAGTCTGTTGAAGATGATGATAAGTGTAATAGCGGGAACGATCCCATTGACGACATTGATCTGCGTAACAGGACGGGAAGTGACACAAAGCTGACGAACGCTCAGCTGAGTCTGTACAATAGTCTTCCTGTGATACGTGATGAATCTGTAGCGAGAAGTTTGATCCCCAACCATAGATCCCGAGAGCGATATAGTGAACAAGAATGACAATCCTCAGACTGTCAATCCCAAGGTGAAACGATCCTATTCTTGGAACGGCGATCTGAGGTAGAAGCACAAGATCGATCTGTGCTCGATCAATCATTAGTAGAGGGTGAAACCATTCAACCAGTGTCAGAGGAGTGATCACCATCAAGTAAAGGAGCGGGAGACTAAAGACCACCAGTAGCGGAGAATCTAGGAGCTGAGGCAGCCTTGGACAAATCGACAGAAGGGAGAACCTTGCAAACAGTTGATGTAGCTGGTGTTATTGAAGTAGACTGTTGAACCGGCATAGCATGTGGATTCAGAATGGTGGTTTCATTGTAATGCAGAAGGGGACAATAAATGACCTACAATTGATGGCCGGGGAACCCTTGGAGGGTCAAAGGTTGATACCGTCGAGGCTGGAGTAGACGAACTCTCATTGACCTAACTCCGTAGGAGCAGGTTGCTCTAACGTCAGCGTGGTAATGAGCGCACCAGTATCAGATGGCTGGTTTGTTATGGCGGGAACTTCATCAGTATGGAAACTATCCGATACACTATCATCTACTACAGATAAACAACAAAGAAATAAAATACAAGGGTGGTATGGTAGACAAATGCGTTTTAATGGCTGTTACGGTGGAGGACATAGTCAACTCGGTAAAACGTTGGGCTTCCTAGTAGAGGAAGGCACGTGTCCAACGTCCTGAGATTTAGACTGTCAATAAACCTTATGCTACGGCATTTGTGTAGGTAATATGGAAGGCTCACTCAGAGGGGTGAGAAGACTGGGATCATCTACGGTCCTTACAAAGATGACCACGACAGTCACAGCAAAGGTTGTGAGGGTCCGCCAAGGAAAAGTACATCTGCAAGTTACACAGGCCGGGTGTTCATCTTGGCTGTTCCCATTTTCTTCAATACAGGGTTAGAAACTAACAGTTTTCGTCCACTAGTCCTCATAATGATAACATATAGCAAAACCCTTTAAAAGGGCACATTTCTACTAGTCCTTATGATACCTTTACCATTGGGCAGTTTGGCAAGGACTATAGGACTAGTGCCAATTTATAACGCTGCAATATGTAACAAAGGTGTTATTACCAAGGAGGAGGTAAAACATACGTATCCTCTATTTAATGTTTATTCAAAAACACGTCTCCACAATGTGTCACAATGAGAAAGAGAATGATGTGGCAGGGATAGTCATGCGATCATATCATATAGGGCGCTATGCACAGGATTACAGTTCGTGAACCATTTGCTTGGGTGGTGACGACGGTGATGCTGGAATGTGTTAGAGTGATTTGTTTTTTGAAGCTGGAAACCTTGTTCAAGCATGTTTCCACATTGGATCGAAAGAAGAAGGAAGAAATGCATAGTGTGGGTGTTTGAACATTTCTGATAGAGGAACAACACTGATATATGAATCAACTACACATAATTTAGATTAGAGTAGATGTGGAAAATATCAAGGTTTAGTAAACCTTACAATGGATAGAGACAACACACCTTTCTGTATGCTAACATGAGACTTTTGTCAAGGTGACATAAAAATCGAAGAATACAAAGATTCAGCAAATTTAATGAAACACTATACCTGTTGGCTCTGAGCTTTAACCTCCGATTCTTTGAGGTTGTCATCAAGTGTTGAGTGCAGCAGCTTCAGGTTTCTTAATCTGCAAATTACAACAGCATAAAGATATGATGTATCTGTTTACATTACAGCTTTCATAACTGAAGCTGATATTTATTCATCATAGTGACCTAAGGCATTTATAGATCAATTTGTTTGTAAAAAGTGATGGCCATTTTGTTGTGAGTTCAGCACCCAATATGTTTAAATGGGCAGGGTAACAATTTAATTTATTTTTCCATATTGAAAGGAACTGACAATTTCCTTTGTGCATCCCACACACTAACATTATCTGACACTTATTTATATTCTGAATGGATGAGTGATAGTTCAACTACAAGATAGGGTCATAGTATAGCCTTCAAATGCCAATAAACCGAGGAATCACAAAACTATGAGACCTATTTTTTCTTATAGAAAATACAGGACATAATAAGTACTGCTGTGATATTGTGACCTCACCTCAAGAATCAGGCTTTAAATATGTGGTTCATACATTCAGTCCCAAAAGTACTAAGCATGACTGATTACAAAACATGTTATTCAATAGTCAAAATAATAATGATCTTCTAGTACCTTATTTCCTGTGAAAGTTTGTGCTTCTCCATAGCCTGCAACTGTTCTTGACAGAATATCTAAAATGTCGAATAAATGGGGTTTTACCGGATGCTAAATATTGCATCCCTACATGCATACAAATTGAGCATGGACACAAATAATTTACATTTCAAATTCCATAGGACCCAAAAGTGTATGGAGTTTGAAATATTTAATTGATTAAAATAGTAGATTGAATTTACATATAACAGACATTTCCATTGCAGTAAAAAAATAGACTAAAAGTTTAGGCGTCAATGGATGATTTTCTTAAATCTAACATTGGAATCCACATCTATTATGCAAATATCCTCTATTACGAGGATATGCAATATTACTACTGGAAACCAAGTGAAGCATGACACATCTTGCCAGCTTGTGATCCCCCATGTTCTTATCTTGGACCCTCCAAGTATATTTATATGTTGAGTTTGATCCTTGCACTTAAAAAATGATAGACCTGAGTAAATCCCTGACATAAATCACTAGTACTGGAGCAATTGATTAATTAATTGGTCAATAACTATCAAACTATGATATTTACAAACTTATCTGATAGAGAACAGTATGTCTAGGAATTTAAAAACATAGGATATATGATGATTAACATGATTGCAATAGTTTTAATACACTTGTTTTCATTACAAAGTGGACATTGATAATACTTGATACAGTGACTGAAATTAAGCATGAGTCAAATCAAAGTGTCCTGTCATAAGCCTTATCTTAAAACCTAGATTCAAATATACAGGAGCGAAGCTCAAGGACCCCAGGATATCATCTCAGTAAACTGGACTTTGGCTCTTTGTATCAGTCTAAAGCTGCAAAGGTTTGTGCAGATGTCAAACCCCACTTACTTCAGTAATTATAATTATTTTAAGATGAGAATTAAAATGATTTCAATTGTATAATGATTGATGTGATATCTTTGATCTTGATATGAGCATTCAGAACAATAACCGCCACTACAAAGACTCATGTATATGGACAGACCTATTAAATAATTAATAGAATAGGCAATGTTTATTTAGTTGTCAAAGAAAACAGATGTTTATATCAACACTAGTCATTTGTTACAATTAAAGAACTGAAACAACATGATGGCAAGAATGATTTTCCTTTAAACCTCTGGTGTACCACATAATCTCCTTGTACTTTTTCATAGCATCACTGATTGCTTTCTATTTTTTATTAACAAAGTGCTTTACACAGTGATTACCGGCATTTAAAAAAGAATAAAAAAACTGTGTTTGGGGAAAGCAACTATTTTGCACAATAGATGAGATTAACATAGCATTAACAATTCATGGGTGATGGAAACACTGAAGAAGTGACCTGGAATCCAACTAACTGCATCAGACAGCAAACATACAGCTGCCTTCAGCGAGGTCATTTTAATAAAACTTACTAAAGATTTTTCTTCTGTATTCTTCAATGCAGTTACATCTGCTTCAAGGGAGAGTAGTTCTTCAAGCATCTTGTCATTGAAGTGTTCAAGTGCTCTACCCCTACAGAAAAAAAAACAAAATAGTATGAAAGCAAATGTCATGAAATGCATCATATCATTTTCTTTCTCTTGCCTTCCAAAACAGTAAATACTGAAATATGTTAATGTAGCTTGCTGGGTGTATTTCAACTAAGTACTTGATTAAATGCCAAAATAGTAATCCAGGGTCAAGCTTAAACAATAACCTCATTACTTAAAAAAAATAACACATCAAGTTGCCGTAAGGAAAACTATCATGAAAAGGCCAAAAGATTTAAGCAACAATAAAATAATACTAACATAGTAACAAAATCCCGCACACAATAAAATAAAAACCCAGTCTGTTCTCACAAACTGTTTTGCAGAAAATAGATACTTGGGGTCCTATTATTTTGTTTGATAAATTATGCTAATTGGAGGTCAGAAGTCTTATTTATTGCCTACATAACAGAGAATAATGTTTTCTTGTTGGACCTACAGGCCTACTCACCTGTCTTGGCTTTCAGATGTCCAGATATTATAGATGTGTTTCTGAGTATTTCGTAGTGCCCCTCTGGTGAGCTCAGTTAGCTGCTGATGTTTAACCTGTATTCAAAAACATTTATCGTTAATGTTAGTGTACTGGGATGAATGGCCAGATGACACACCAAGAACTTGAATCACTGAGATATTTGTCCATTCTAGGTCAGCCTGTACTCTATTCCAATTATAAACAGCTAAATAATATATGCTTGGTACATTGTGTCTTATCACAATTAAACAAGAGTCATCCGAAGATGACATAACCCCCCGACGTGGCATGTGGGTAAACTGTGTGTACCTTCAAATGTATTTAGATTGGCAAGGAAATCTTTTTCCTTGATGCCAAAACCAGAAATATAATGAAGGTTATTAAATATTGGTTCATGTAGCTCACTTTCTGATGATCTCATGAAATTGTAATAACAATAACTTCGCAGATTCGCATATGATAGCTCTGTAGTAGCCTCATGACACAAAGGCATAAGGAGAATGTACTAGGTTATGTAGCTCACATCATGTACAGTATATGATATCGGTAAATAGTACACCTTAGAATTATATGTCAGGGGCTACAAATTAAAATCTATAAATAACAAACTGCACTACTAGTGAACATGATTGATATGTGCATAAAGTTTGGTGAATCTCTGTCGCATGGTTTAGAAGATATGCTCCATCAATTTTCAATGTAAATTGAAAAAAGAAAAAAAAAGAGAAATCTGTTAAAAGCAAAGGCACCACTACATAACCTGCTTGATAGGTGTAAAAACTTTTGAGAAGCTAAGTTGTATGGTTCAGGAGATATGGTCCGGACAAGAGCACTACCCTCAAATTTCCTAAGTTCATCATATTTCCAAGGAAACGACAAAAATATAAAATTCTAAAAATCTCTAAATAGCAAAAGGCACTCCTACTGAGCCTGATTGTTAAGTGTACCAAGTTTTGTGAAGCTAGGTTGTACGGTTTAGGAAATATGCTCCGGACAAGAGCAGTACCCTCAAATTTCCTAAGTTCGTCATATTTCCATGGAAACAACAACAAAAAATAAATCTAAAAATCTCTAAATAGCAAAAGGCACTCCTACTGAGCCTGATTGTTAAGTGTACCAAGTTTTGTGAAGCTAGGTTGTACGGTTTAGGAAATATGCTCCGGACAAGAGCAGTACCCTCAAATTTCCTAAGTTCGTCATATTTCCATGGAAACAACAACAAAAAATAAATCTAAAAATCTCTAAATAGCAAAAGGCACTCCTACTGAGCCTGATTGGTAAGTGTGACAAGTTTTGTGAAGCTAGGTTGTACAGTTAAGGAAATATGCTCCGGACAAACAATGATTACAGACGGACGGACAGACAGACATACTGATGGCTATATCCCCCCGTCATTATATGTCGGGGGGATAAAAATTACATAGTGATACATAAAACTGACCAGATGACTGATGATAAATTATATACTAACAAGACCCATAAGCTGACATACCTTCAGTTGTTTCTGCATGTCCATTCCAAATGACTGTATGTAAGTTGAAATGCCTGTATTTATTCCTCTGTCACTGTTAAGATCCATCACCAAGTCTAGTTCACAATATTGTGTAGAAGACTCATCCTCAGTTTGCTGGTATGGAGGGTATCTAGGTGGAACTGGTGTCAGACGGGACTTCACAAGGGTCTCTGCTTTCTTAGAAGGTAGTCTCTTTAGAATATTTTCTTCCTCATCTTGTACTATTGGTGAATTGTCTTTAGAAGCAGGTTCTTTAAAAAGAAAACAAAAAACGATTCACACATGAATATGAAACTGAGATGATTAATTACTATAAATAAGAAAATTATTTCCAGTTATTGAAAACAACAAATGCATGATGCTGTTTTGGGGTGATCCTCATCCTTTTATTCTATAGAGAAGTTTTCTGCCACTTTTGGTTGTTTAGGTGCTTAAAATTCAGTTTATTACTGCATCATTGAAGTGTCGCAACTTGCATTATTAAAAAAGTTATTCAAATGTTATTGCATAATTGTTTGAAGAGTATATCTCAAATTCTACAATACATTTCACTGATAAATGCGAAGTACCTGGTAAATCTTTCCTAAATAATTTCCTTGGGCAGAAACTTCTCTCATCATCACTGTGGGGATCCGATTCAGAAGACAACATGCCATCACTTTCACTCTCATCCAGTATCTCCAGATGCTTCACATAATGGTTAAGGCAAAAGTACAGAAAGAGTGAAGTGAATTTGGGACCAGTTCAAAAGTTCGATGTTGGATAAAATACTTAATCCCCTACACCCCCAAAAACTTGAATTGTTGAATGTTGAATTCCTGGGTTTTGTGGCCCATTTTATCACGCATTCTCTTGCTTTGCCCTGCTTTTTTAGAGCGTTTACTGTATGTTGCATATTGACTTGGTTTTGAAAATCATTTATAGGGCTTTTATAAATCAAATCTGTCATTCATATTATGCACTGCACTAGATTTTCCACCATTGCCAGCGACAATAAAAATGTACCTTATGGAAAGACTGGATGTATTTAGTGACAACTCCTAACAGCATATGAATAAAATAGAATCAGTTTTTTCATAGTAACCATATCAAATATTGAGAAATCAGGTAAGTTGATTTTGTCACATGGAAAACTTGCAGGGCCATTAACTAATTTTATTCCGTTTTTTAAAGGATACTGCATACTTCCGTTTGAGAGCAGATCGACGTGGACGCACAGTAGATGATGGACCTCAAAGAATGAAAGAAACTAAGAGTTTTAATACAATTAATTACACGCAGAACAATCAGACAGAACAAAGCATGGGAGGAAGCATTATGTAGCTTTGTTCAGAAACCTTGTTATATTTGGTGTGCTTTTAAAATTTGAAACAAGAAGACAATGTTTTCTAGTTATAGGTTTCACAAATGTTACAGTAAAAACATTTTTTCAGAAAATCCAAATATAGAAAACAAACTGCACCTCTCCTATTTGTATAGAAACTGTACTCCCAATTGGAAAAGAATCCATGAAGTAGTTTTCACGTTATAGGTCGCACAAATTTTGAAGTAAATGTTTTTCACAAGTTCACAGCATGAAAAAACGTCGTATTTTTCAGAAATAGTCATGTCAAAATGAAACTTTGTACTGCACCTTTTCTAGTAGTATGGACACTGTTTCCTAAATTTGAAAAGATTCCATGCAGTAGTTTTCAAGTTATAGGTGGCACAAATGTTTCAGTTAAAAAACTCAAGTAAAAAAAGCAAAAAAACCTGAGCTGTTTTTTCTTTCTTCAGAAAATGCAAATATTGAAATCAAACACAACTGCACCTCTCCTATAGGTATAAAACGTGTTCACCAAGTTTGAGAAGAATCTATTTAGTAGTTTTTAATTTATAGGTCATACAAAAAATGTCCTCAGAAAGAAGGATGGAATTCCTTGGTATAACAATATACTCCCGCAGGTGTTTACACAAGCTGATCAAGCTGTTGTAACAGTCACCAACTGTGTATGACAGCGTCTTTGTTCTTGGAAATCTTGACCCAACCTATCTCATTTGAATATGCCTTATTGTTCTGCTATTGATTTCATGGTAGTTAGATTAAATGTAAAGCAGTTGAAGTTAAGTTTATGAAATCAGCAAATGATATTCAATCGAACTGTTATTGCCTCATACTATATCATGGAATTCTAAGTCTACAGTCTTAGTTTTATCATTTGCTGATTAGTTTCTATATTGTTCAAAGACAGGATGCATTTTTATCATTTTTACAGGGACAGGCGTAAATTTTTCTCTTGACTGGCATGAATAATCCCCAAGTCCCACTGCACTATGTCATCATGCCAAAGTTACAATGCTCTTAACCCACATGCAGATTCTTCAGAATTTGAAATGGTTTTGTAAGAAGAATGTCAAAGAACACATGTGTGCTCTTTCATTGCATGCTGCTAGACATATTCCAAAGGTTTTTAAGTTCATCCCTTCAACAAGTTCAGAGAAAGAAATCAAAAGATAATGGATGGCTAACATGCTATACTAAAAAATCACTTGGACCTTCTGTCAAAATTATTGTAACCTAATTCTTACATTCCATTCAGGACAATACCGTATTTTCTTGAGTATAGTGCACACTTTTTTCCCAAAAAACACAGCTGTGTAGAAGGGGGTGCGCATTATACACGAATTAATGAGTTTTGATGCTTTTTCCCCCATGGAAAGACATTACCGTGAGCGTAATATTTGTTTTCGTTGGACGATTCTATGTCAACACGCAATTCTAGCGATCACGTGCACGGGAGCCTTGACGGTGACTGGTCAGACTGGTTCAATGTAAAACATAATACCCGGCAATAGCTATCAGCTGCTTCGCTTAGGGTTATTATTATTTTAAATATGTTTAGTAAAAGCTGCATCTAAATTAACAAGATATTGGAATATATTATTCCTGATAATAAAATAGTTTCAGATACAATTTTTGCCGATCCTTGCATTAAAATCCTGTAAAGTCATAGCATAGGGTGTGTCTTGACTGAATCACCGGTAGATTCCAAGAAAACGTGTGTACAGCTGATTGCTGTGTCCGGCTTAGTTAACGAGAAAATACACAAGGTAATCGTAATAAAGAAGTTGCTCATCCATAACAATTTTGTCTTAGTTACCATTCCAACTTCTAAATGCCACTTAAAGAAGTTTAGGTAATCTTAATCCCTGGATATACAACAATGCCTAGCAGAACAAAAAATACAATTTAAACGGTAAATCAACATGTCTGGTGATTTTTTTATCTCAAATTTCGAATTTGTACTGACTAAGTTTCTCATCACCAGTTCGTTTGTCGGACTTCGCTAAAGGGGTACAACAGTGTATTTTTTTTTCTGCGCTTGGTATTCGATTTTTTTCCCCTCCAAAATATTGAATCCGCTAGAGGGGGGTGCACATTATACATGGGTGCGCACTATACTCAAGAAAATACGGTAAGTACTTCACTGTGAATAACATAACTTCTTGGTTGTAATGATACAGAATTATGGTGATTAATCACCTCTCTTTTACAAAATGTTTCTTTCTGTTATAGATTCTTGGAAACAATACCTGATGTTATCATTTTGTCTGCACACCGGCTAAGAAGTTTAGGCACGCTTTCATGGTCTTTGAGTGGAAGAGAATATTCTTTCTGGAAAAGCAAATATTGGTCTGAAGTAATGTTGTAGCAGATATTTTAATATTATATATCTGATTAGAATCATAGTTCACAAATGTGATTGAGACTTCATAATTAAATGCAGAGTTTCTTGGAGTAAGACATTATCAATATTCCAGTTACATGAAACTTACATAGACCTCTAACTGTTGAGTAATGGCAACATCAGCTGTATCCGATTCAGTTCTATCCTCTGTAAAATAAGCACATTTGTTTAGATGATTAAGAAACATGATTACATAAAGTAATTCATTAACTGGTCTCGAATTCTGTGACAAATGTCAATGATACCACTGCTAGGCTTACAGCAAGTCAGCTTCATCAAGATATCACAAGATTAAAAGCCTACAGGAATGTCATATGATGGTGGCCTAGAAATAATTGAGTCTGGACCATACAAGCCTGAGATTGACATGAGCTATGTTTTGTTTGTTTGTTTGTTTGTTTGTTTGTTGTTTAATGCCACACTCATCAATATTCCAAAATGACGGCCTGAAAAATAAATGCGTATGGACCAGACAATCCAGTGATTGATATCATGAGCATTGATCCACGCAATTGGGATACAATGAGATGCATCAGCGAGCCTGACCACCCGATCCCATTAGTCGCCTCTTACGACAAGCATAGTCGCCTGTTACGGGAAGCATGGGTTGCTGAAGACCTATTCTACCCTGGATCTTCACGGGTCGACATGAACTATGTACCACTCTGCCAGGGTACAATGACATGCCAAAGTCAACGTAGCCTTACCACCTGATCCATTCCACAACATACACATGCTGCTGTGATCATATTCAAACCTAGAATCCCCAGAGTTGCTTGGACAATTGTTCATGACATTCTAATATTTAATGTACATACATTTTTGTATAATCATTACTTGAATTGTACCTCTAACGTCCCTGCTTGCAACCTGAGCGGAAATAAGTTCCATTCACTTCAGTCAATGCATAGTCCTCATGGTCATCAATGACTTTCAAATCAAACACAAGCAGTCTTTAAAGCACAATACCGCAGCACCTGTTTCATTAGCTAAGCATCAGAACATAGTGAGAGCTACTGGCATCATATACACTGGGCTCAAAGAATTTCAAGGACTCTCTGAGGGCTTTTCAATGACTTTTCAAAGCAAAATACATTTTTGAAATAAAGTGTACGACTGTAACAATATATTGAACTATGGATGTATTGCAATTGTTTGCCCTACAATTGTACTATATTGCTAGAAATATAAAAACACAATAGTATTGCTGATTGTATGCATAACAATCGATAGTTGCAATTAGTTACTATAAAGCATCAATTATGTGTCAGAAAACTCTATTTCAAACTTGCCGTGTGATCAGCAAGGAAGGTGACAACTTCAGATTAGAGTTACTTCCCTTTGGTTTGTGTCGCAACGAGGTGGACTTGACATTGTCACCAATACTTCATTAATTTCTGTTACATTGATTAATACAATTATCAAGCCTTATAGTTGTCTTTAATAACTACTGCAACAACTACTGCAATAGTTAGAATAGCCCCAATAGTCACCCATAGTAAAGTGTTGATATGTCAAATATATATTTGACAGCAAAACCAGACAAGTGAAATTCAAGGACTTCTTTTTTATTTAAAAGCCAAAAGCTAAAAGGGTTTTTTTTATTGGAAAACTAAAATCAAATTCAAGGGTTTTTCAAGACAGCTAATGAAATCAAGGATTGTTCAAGCCCTGTGTGAACATTGAGCAATCACATATGCACATCAAGTAGAAATTCGAAATGGGAAAGTATTATTCAGTGCATGAACATGGCTACGCAGCATCCCTAGGAAGAAAGCTTAGCCCAGCATTGATGGTAAATGTTAAGATTTTCAGATTATGTGTTTCCTGTGTTAATGTTTTGATGGTCTGGCTATATAAATGAGCGAGTTGTGATAACACAATGCTATAAAAGGTAAGTATAGTTGAATCAACTGTAGCTATCAGCTAACTGGTCTCACAACAGCTTTATCCTTAGTCATGTGACCTAAACTACTGGTTACATCCTTGACCTGACAGGTGGAACTTACTGTCCATACACCAAAACTCAAAGCAAGATTGGAATGGATAAAAACCATTGCATAATACAGGTATCTAATGATCTATTTAAACTACTAACCATCATCAGACCAATGGAAACTGGAAGGTGTTTTGGGGGTCTTTGGTGTGGCAAGGAACTTAACATCAAGTGGACTGTACCGTCTCTTTGAGCTAGGTATCTTAGGTGTTCCTCTTTGTAAAAGTTTTGGAGTTATTGCTGAATGAACGAGAGTGGACACATTTGTGAGTTCACCTTTTGCAGATCTTGCTGAAGCTTCAGAATCCTGTTGAAAAGAAATATTTCAATGAACGTTCAATTGAAGACACTGGAATTAATGTTACTCACATAGTAGATACAATAAGTAATTAATATTGTCAGGACTTATTTATCCACACTGTTGTCTGAAAGTTTATTTTCAAACCTGTGACAAAATTAGATCCTCCTCCTCTCTCCTTATGAGGGAAATGTCATCATCACTGTCACCACCATTATCATCTTCTTTGCCATCTTCTTCATCTCTATTCTCATCCTCACTATCCATGTCAGCAAGCCTACATTTTCTCTCTTTCATGACAGGTTTTCTCTTGTACGTTTTCTGACTTTTCTTTCTCTTGGCAGTTGATCGCTTAGCTATCCAACTTAATTCACTTCTATAAAAAAACAAGAAAACAGCGTTATCACTATTCCCCGCCATGAGGCACATTAGAAGTTTCTACTGTCTGGACAATGTCAGAGCATAGGAAATTATGTTCGTATACAAACTAAGGAAACCATGACACAATGCATTAACTTTAAGATGATCCCATCACTGAATTCCTACAAATGTCAATCCCAATCCTCAAGGAACAATGCAGGGTCAATAGTTTGTAAGCAGAAACCCCTTCCTAAAAAATTATGTCTTATGACCATTGACCACTAACTTTTACTGAAAACATCCATAAAATGCATTAAAGAAAGAAGCTAAATTTGTTTTTTTGTACAACTCACTTCAAATCATTTACTATTGAACAGTTGTTCTGTCGATATTCTTCATCTGAGCATTCAGTCACCTGTGGATGTATACACATGTACATATTTTTAAACATTCATGAATATTCCCCACTTGTGTATTCAGTGATCCCTTGTCTAGTTTTAATGAGCAAAACTTAAATACACCAGCTCAAGACTAAGGTTTGCATAATATATACTCTGCAAAAAAAGAAACACAAAAGTAAAAAACAACAACAAATAACAACAAACAAAACACAACAACAACATAAATATCTGACAGACCAACAAGAAAACAGCGTTATCACGCATGGGGCACATTAGAATTTTGTTTGTTTATATAGTAATGAATATAAATTATGAAAAAAGTCCTAAAAGCCATAAGAGATAGGCACTAGGGTCGCTTTATGTCATCAGAAGAAATAATTTATTGCACTAACTATCTAACTCAGTCTTGATAAGTGTCTCTTAGATAAGCTAACCTTAGCAGTTTCTGAGAAAACTTGTCCCCATGTCAGACACTTTGCACTGTGCAAAATAACATGGGTAGTAACCCAGGGGCAGTAACTGTGTATGCTCAAAATCTAAAAACATGAAGCAAGGGAAGTAACTCTGGAAATACATAATTTACGACACCAATTATCAGACTAAGTTTTGACAAGTATCTCTTAGACAAGAATGCATGCTTTCATTCATGCAACTTCAGCTGTTTCTGAGAAAACATGTCCCCATTGCAGACTCTATGCACTTAGTTGAAAAGCACGGAGCAAGGACCATAACTCTGTGAAAAATGACTTTAAAACACAAATTTTCGAACCCATGACCAGTAATATCAGCGTGTGAATTTCATTTGTCTAACTTAAATAATCTTTGAGAACATTTGTCCACTTTCAGAAGCAGACAGACGGCCAGAAAGATGGAAGGAAGACTCTGTTCCTATACACTTGCCCCACTTCGTGATGGGGATTGGTCATTTCTGCATTGATTGGGAAAAGATGAAAACATCGCAAAAACACTACCATTGGCTGTGCCATCATTGGTGTCAAGATCACAGTGTATGGCCACAACTGCGATGGAGACTAGTTTGATTTAGTGACGAGTCACATTTTATGCTTCGCCGTGCAGATGGTAGACGTCGTGTTTACAGGTGTCACGGGGAACATTATGCACAAAATTGTATACAGGAAGTGGACTGATTTGGTGGTGGTAGTGTGATGATGTGGGCTGCCATCTCCTACACTGGTAGAACAGTCTTGGTGCAAGTTCTGGAACACGTCCTTCCCATTATGCAACAAGTGAACATCATTTTCCAACAAGACAACGCTCGACCTCACATGGCAAGACAGGACAAAAGCCTTTTTCAGTAATCACAACATCCAGGTCCTTGGCCCTTTAGGTCTCCCAATCAAACATTTATGGGATGCACTAAATCAACGACTGCGAGCATGTCAGCAACAACCACAGAACTTCGGACAGTTGGCATAAGCACTGCAGGCAGAGTGGGTGAACATTCCCCATGCCACAATTTGGGATCTGATTGCTTCCATGGGATGATGATGACAGTCACTTTTGGACTCTAATGGTGGCCATACAAGGATGTACTTCAATCTACTGTTCCATGTTTGCCATATGGAACCTCGGTCAATGACAATGATGTGTGCCAATTTTGAAATCAATTTTGTGTTTCTTTTTTTTCGCAGAGTATGTGTCAAGTTAGGGTAAATTTCCTATGTTCCTGGTGCAGGTCTTTATATCATTACCTTCTGTTGTAAGCTTGTCTTGGGTTCCACATCACTGTAAATACGAAATTAGTCAATCTATTTTACAATGTCAATAGTTGGGACATGCAAACATTAAAAACCTTCAATAGAATTTCAAACTCACAACTATGATGTTAACACAACAGCTAGTCATGCAAACATGCAGACTGGGCCAATAAACAAAGCCACAAACATTGACAGAATACTATATGTGCATCAGTCTGGTCAAGACATTTTAAATCTAGAATCCACAGAATAAGTAGATCTTATTCTTAACATATAGGCTATCATGAGGTAAGCTTATTAGATTAAAAGAAATATTTTCCACAATTGGAGTATAATACAATGTAAATATATGTATGAGGACTTGCCACTGATTCAACTTCTTGTCCAAGTCTTCTATTTCTAAGGAAGACTGCTCAACTAGTGACTACAAATTGCAAAGAAGAGAAACAGTCAACAATTTCTTCAGAATACCACAATTTCTGATGAATAACTAATGTACTCTGAGTAATAATGCTCATATGCAAAATTACAGTTTTCTTTAAAGAACCAATCTTTTAAATTTTCTTTACAAACGAATAGACGTATTTGATACAAACTGTTATCAGTCAAAGAAATAATCACTGTTATGTGATATGAAGGTTAATGAGTCAATTAAACACATTTATATTTCAGTAAGCCACACAAATGCACATATGCACAGTGAATACTGCACTATACAAATGTATAATATTATTATCATTATTATTATTAATATTGATGAATCAGAAAGTTTACTCACCTCACAAATTGCTGAGAACTTTTCAACAACAACAGCATTAGAGGTACCATTTTCATATCTGTCTAAACTGTTGCAGGAAAAAATGTACATTGTTATGATAAATCAGTTAATCTTCTCCAAACAAACATGACACATACTAACAGGTTAATTTGACACTGAGTGGCTGTCATAAAACTGTCTGATAGACTTTTTTTTTAAAAATTAGTCATGATACAGCAGAAAGTAAAGAAATGTCCAAATATCATTTGTCTCCAGCAAAACTACTGCACCTTATTTTTCAAAGAATACATACAAACATACAGATCGTCCTCCAAACTGTACTTAAGGCCTCTTTCAAAGCCATAATTTTAGTCATAACATATTAGCACGAACTGGGAAATGGTTAATTACCGGTATAACTTGGGACAATTTACAGACACTTGCTGCAGACTTGGGGCCATATATGGGCCTGAGTAGGTCTAGATAAATTCCAGTAAATGTTGATAAATTCATCAAAATGCCCAAATGCCATATGCCAGATCCAGCAAAATCACTGGATGTATTTTCTTCCAAGCTATCTAAGATATTTGTGATAAACCAAACACTGTATTTGGAGAGGAATCCATTAACTGTCACAACGAAAATAAGAAAACTCACTGAATAAGTTTGCACTCACAAGAAAAAATAGTAATGTCTAGTTTGTGTTCAGGACTAGAATGTTTTCTTCTGACTACTAGCCTACATGACCTATGAAGCTATTGTGTTAATTTATAATGCTAATATTGGTCTCACAATTCTAAAACTGATCTATGCTGGTAAAATGGTATATAATACAAGCCAACTTGGATAAATCTATAGCACCATGACAACATATTTGCTTGTGACAAACTATAACTAAATCTATTAGTTCAAACGATTCCAATAAGTTCAACCATACTCAAGCATTTCTAATAAATCAACGTATGGGTCATACCTTTTACTCTCCAGTGTCTCAGAAATATTGTTTTTACATCTAGATTTTGAACCGTGCATCTTCTTCTCAGGTGCATCTGCCGCAAAAGTCCTCTTTTGTTCTTCTAACTTCTTGTCACAGTGTTTCGGCATTGCCTTTCCCTGAATCAAAAGCATAATCAGTTCAGCCAAACACCGACTCACTGTTTAAAGTCCACCTGTCAAAGACTTGTAAAACTTAGAAAAGACTCAAGACATTTCCTTGTTGATCACCACTTTTACCCTTCCTATGACAACACTTTAGCAGAAAATATTTGTGAATTTGTGAAAATTAAAAGTATTTTTTAAATCTTTGACACTATGGATATTTTTCTGCACATAACTTAAAAACTGAGAAGATTTATCAAATGCTAAGCAAACAAACTTAACATATTTTTTCCAGAATATCATGAAGTATGTTTTCTATACATTTGACGTGTGTTATTTCATTGATTAGATTATATTAATAATTTCGTCATCTACCAAATACATCACACTGCATTCTTCATTTTGGAAACACAACATTACCCTATTAACCAAAGACAATCAGATACATAATCTTCAATGGTAGCCTAATGTAAGGAGTATAATCAGGCTATTAGAAATTCAACGATGATAGTTGTATTTACTTGGGCTACAGTACAGGACTTTCAGAGTTTATCAAAACTAAAAATAATATCAAACTGTACTGTCATGTATCAAACTGCCAATCCGAATTAATCTCTTAATCTAGAAATTATCATGTTTATGATATACATTTATCATTGTGAACAGAAGTGAACAAACAAATAATGACAAACTCACCTTCTTTGGTCTGTGTTCAGGTTGATCTTTTTTCGGGAAGAGACTCTCATTTTTCTCCTCACAAATATTTTTCAATTCAGCATTTCCATCTTTTGTTGGTAACAACACAGATAATTCAGGATTAAACAATGTGAATTTTGGAGTTTTGGTTTTCTTTCTTGAGGAGACTGTTGACTCATTCTGAATTGTTTCAGTGTCTTTCACAATATCAGCATTAACTCTGGACACTCTTCTTTCTGAGCAGATAGATGTTTCTTCAACATAATTCTGTTGCTTTGTTTTGGAATTATTTTTTTGTCCACTTTTTTCTCTGCTAATGTCTTCCTTTTTGGTGCTTTTAATATTTTTGTCCACACTCTTCCAACTCATATAACTTTGTGATAAAACTCCAGACTTTCCACCCTTCTTATTCAACTTTTGATGCCAAGTTTTCATGTAATTGGTTGCAATAGTCTCTGAACTTATATTAATCCCAACTTCTGATCTGTGTTTAAAAAACTTTGAAGTTTTCATAATTGTCTCCTTCATACCATTTTCTTTATTAGTCTGGTTGCTATCACCAGTATCAGTGGCTTTGGCTGGATTACTGTTAGTCTGAAACTGAGGGTAAAGCTGATCTTCAGATTCCATATCAAAATCATATGGATCACTCGCAGGGCTGGCATTACTTGAAAGTTCTGGAAAGTATAAACCAGACTGAGACAGCAATCTGTGCGTGTTCTTTGGTTTAACAAATGAAGACATCTTGGTTGCTTGGGAAGATTCTGTTGGCAAATCTTTGTTAACATCATCATCTGCCATGCTAAATGGGCTTTCAAATAGATTTCCAACATTTTCAGAACTACTGAATTCTTCTTTATAAACATCAATCTGTTTAGCCTTAGCTTTTCGACTTGGCAATACTCTTTTACAGTGTTGACTTCTTGTTTCTATTAGCTGTGGCTCCTTAGCTTCCTCCTGTTCTACCTTATGACTCCCACTAGTCTTTGCATTCTGCTTTGACGTGGAGGTTTTTCCAAGAGATTTCTTCTTGTGAACAGCTTCTTTTTCCACTTCTGTATCTGAAGATAAACTAGATACCTTAGGCACTACTCCTTTAGCCAAACCAGTTTTCTCTTTACATTTGCTCTCCTTCTTTGTTGTTGGATTGTCTTTGCTCATGCTTCTTATTTTGCCAGCATTCTCTTTCAAAATAAGACAAGGGCTTGATAGACTTCTTTTCAACATTGAATGGTGAGAATCCTTTTTAGTAGTGTTTTCCTTCATTGCAGGCTTGTTTTTCATGTCTATATCAGAAGGCGAAGGTTTTTTTCTTGTAGCTTTCATGGGAGCCTCAGTGAGTTGTTTTGACACATCAGATTGTACTGATGATTCATCAGTTAAAGACTCTTCATTTCTGTTTAGATTTTGAACTCTATCTTTGGGATGGATCAGTTTCTTTTTCTGTTTTCTTGAGAGTTTCATTTTCTGTTTTCCAGACATCTCCTTTGTAGTTTGCAGTGTGTTCACATGCATGCTTGACTTGGTATTAATTGTGGAGCTGTATAAGCTGTCTGTGTGTTTACCAGTATCTTGAACATCACTTGAACCTTCTATACCTGTCTCAGTTGACACATATTGAGATTCCTGAATGACAGTTACCTCAAATGATGATGGAAGATCTGAGGATTGTGGTGTTGAGTTTTCAGCAGCTCGACTAATTTCATGGTAATTTTGTTGAACACTGTTGTCTATCTTATTCCCTTCTTTCAGTTTAATCACTGAATTGTTCTCTTTTTCCTGACATATTGGAGAAACATCCTTTTCTGATGTTGGTTTGTTTTTCCCTTGTTTCTTCTTTTTCAAAAGCTTATTCTTTCCTTGTGAGATTTGTTTGTCTTTGAAGTCATCATCAATGTCACCTGAAAACATGTAAATGTTTTCATACAATATTTTATTTTATAATCACATTTCATAATGAATACAATTTCATTATTTTACTAATTACTGTTTCTGTATATAGACTGATTAATCAAACTGTAGGGCTAGTATACTAGAATTCAACTCACCTAATCCTTGTATTGGTCATCTACACTAATGGATGAAGTATGGGGGTGTGAATGAATTGATGAACTTACCCGTAAAATCAAAACAGGAATTTTTCTCTTTCTGAAATGAAGATGCACAAAATGAAAGCAAGTGTGTTAATGTTGGGAGCATGAATATGAGACATCAAAATATACTCCCAACCTCTACCATACTGGTATGTTGATGTATGACATGTCATTGACATCATGAATTCTTTCAATCTAGTTGAAGGTTACTCAGTAAAAGAACAAAATAGTGCTATGTCACTGAAGCTCAAATGGGTATGTGGTCAACAGCTAAAATTAACAACAAAAACATCCACTTGAAAAAAGTTGTTGTCAGCACATACCTGTGCTCCAATCAAATGTATGCCTAAATGTGATTAGTTTTAACAGAACCTTTAAATCAAAAATAAAATACCAACCAACAGACTTTAATTGTATATATTCCTTGAAAAATGCATCATGCCAAAAATAAATATATGTTTGTCAACTCGTGACAACAGCTATATGCAAGCTATGAACAGCTACTTAACAAATTCTGGGTAGCTTCAGTTATAGATTGTATAATTCAAGGTATTGTAGGTTACCTGCAGCTCAGGGATTACAACACAGATAAATGAAAGCATTTGTAGTGAAAATGGTGGAAAGCAAGTGGATAGGGTAACTCCCATTAGTAACTAAACATGTACCACATTCCTTACATTTCTAAAACAACATGGCTGCCATAACTAAAAATTTAGACATCTTGGACAAATTTAGGGGTCTTCATTGGTGGGAACAAGCATGTGAAGTTTCAGCTTCACTCATCCAGAAGTTTCTGAGAAGATGATGTACACAGAGCTTAGGCGTATTTTGACAGAATTAAGAACATGGTCAAAGTGCAAAGGTCAATTCAGGGTCAAAATTAAAAAGCTCTAAGCATTATTTTTGTACATTTTATTATCATATGTCTTTTTATTAGCTAAGCTTTTTAGGCTGTACTGAACAGTACATTACTAGACTCGGGCTTTGGACAAGTGGCTAAAGTTGCAGACTGATACCACGAGTCATGGGGACGGTGGATGTGCAGAGACATGGGGACCACTATCACCTGGCTTGAGGAAAGAAGCAAATATTGGATTCAAACTTCTTAAACACGTTCAGGTGTCATCATTGGTGGGAAGAAGCATGTTTCAGATTCACCAGTTCAATGATTTCTGAAAAGAAGGTGTTTAAAGATTCTGATGCCTACAACACATGGCAGTGTTAGAACTAAACTCAATAGCTTTATAGCGGACAAATGATAAGTTCAAACCCAACTTGGACAAACAGGCATTAACTGACATAAGCTCACTTAGCTTTCAGTTAAAAATAAATGTTTCAGGTATCATCCATATCTGATGTTTATGCCTACTATAAAGGTCACCTTCAAATTTCTTGAGTGATATCAGTAATTGTTTTCGCCCTATTAACAAAAAAGTAGATGGAAATATTTTGTCTCAAAAGACCACGGCAGCTCTAATAAACATTAGATATAAATCCTACCTTGCTTTGACTCTTGGATAACACATCACCCTTGTCACGTCGCAATGCATCTCCTTCAGTCAAATCTATCCCGCTGTCACTTAAGCATGCATTCCTTTCAAACAAAGCGAAATTGATTACTCAAAGAGAGAATTCACTGAATCATCAGTACACTACAATATTGAAATAAATGATACAATACATAATATACTTTACTCAATCAATACCCATCATTTTTCAAATTGTAATATCTGCACATTCAAATGTTTACAAATTACTAACATTTTAGCTTTATGATATGTATTCCATCATTCAACCTGTAAATGTATTTGTTTTGTCTTAAAATAACATTGTTGTATAAAATTTATGCAGCTTTACCTCGAACAGTGTTTCATAAACTAAGTGTTGCACTACATTATGTATCAGGATCATGACTTGTTAACTCTAATAATAATTACTAGTAAGACACACAGAAGCAGGCCTCCTAATTTCACCTTTAAAAAATAGCAATTAAGTAAAATTGATGTTTTTTTCTCTCCCTGCATAATTTTTAATGGCAATTTGTGAATGAAAAGGTTAATTAAAATAGCCCAAACTATATGGTTTCAATGAAAACATATTGCCACTTTTGCTTCATTATCAGTGTTCCCGCTGACTTTTGAAACTGCCAGTTGAGGTACGTATGACAACATGACAGTGTATGCCCAGACTGTATCAAACCAATTAGACACCAACTAGTTGAACCAATAATAAATGAATATCATACTCATCTTACCTCTGGGACTTTTGATGGACAGCAATTGTTATGTGTTGGTGATTTGAAGTAGGCAAAGAATCGGGAATAACATCATCTTCTTCACGTTTATCTGAACAAAAAAAAGGATAAACATGTAGGCTTGCTTCACAAATTATGTTTGCAGAAATTTTGGACATTTAGGCCCATACCTGTTTTGAGGCCTGACCCTTAAAAAAAGAGAGACTTCATGTAGAAAAAGACAATATGTCATTGAAGTTTGTCTTATAATTCACAATAAGTAATCATATCCATACAGTTCAATTACAAAATACATGTCAGTCACTGTGACAGATTTTGAGCTCAAACTAAACATTTTGCCCATTTTCAACTTAGCAAAGGGAAGCAACAATACTATGTTGTATCCTTTGCTCAAATATTACTTTCATATTTTAATCAGGGGCCCCATCCACAAAGAATTTGTAGCGCTAATCATATTGTAAAACCCATCGCAACATTATGACAAAGATCTTAGGCAATCCACAAAACTGTGTTAGTAAAATGTCTGGTAAAGTAAAGAGAAAAAAAATACACATTGTCTGGACCTATTGAAGCAACTGACGGTAAGATAAAGGAGGCAGAAAGTGTGTCATATAAGATTTGTGATATAAAGATCTATTTTTTAAAATTATTTTGGAAAATTTGGTTTGCATCAGAGCCTATAAACACATAATTGACAGAAGAGTCAAATTTTGCGGTTGTGACCAAACTTTAAGTCGAGATTAGTGTTTTTTTTCTATAAGCCTATTATTATTTTATTCTATACTAGGAGTGTGCAATATAGCTGGTATACTGGTATATTGCAATATGTCTGTCAGCAAAACATGTATCGCAGTATAACCCTTGCATATTGATATTTTCTAAAACATTCACAGATGAATTAATATATAATTATATAAATCATATCTACTATCTTGAGGTATTTGGATGGACTGGGTTCCTGTCTAAACCATGTAAACAGCACACGCTTCAAGCTGTTTACAGTAACATTCCATATTGATGACATAATAGGTAGTTCATTACCCATCTCGCAATCTGAAGTTTGGATTTTTGAATGAAGAAGTACCATTTGATCAGTACAAATATATTTAAATTTGGCCCCAATACGTATACTTTATCATTAACATAGGAAAGGTCTGCAATCCTACTGTCTGTAGGTTATCCCGATGGCAATGACCTTTTACATATAGCGAGGGCTGTTTTAAATCTAAGTCATGACTTAAATGAGAGAAGGGTGGTCAGGTAGACTGGTGGTCAAAGCGATCTCTCGTCATGATGAAGACCCGGCTGGGTTTGATTCTCCACATGGGTACAATGTGTGAAGCCCATTTCTGGTGATCCTCACATTGATATTGCTGGAACAGTGCTAAAATTGGCGTAAATCCATACTCACTTACTTGAAAGAGAGTGATTTATCTAACTACATACAACACTTAAAATAAGCACAAAAGGGGCCAGTGACTCTAGTACCAATTAACCTACAAGTGTGGGAATTGATCCCCATATCTGAGATTACTGACATTAGCAATTCATCGATCATAGATAATTTAATAATAGTGAATGTGGCGAAGCTCTCAGAAACATCATTATATGTTCCATATGTGTATCCATACCTGGTTGAATTATTTTAGCACTGCATGAAACCTTTTGTGAATAAAAAGAAAATAGTTTCCATATAGTAATAACTGACATAAATTTATCAGTTCGAAAGTAGGGACAGAATAAATATTGATCTGTTTATGGCCGCCCCTACCCATATGTTTGTTGCCTACCCATATGTTTGTTGTTTTTGCAATAGGCCAGTCAACCACCTCCTTTAAAGTTTGTCACAACTTCACAGGAACATACAACTAAGGAAACTGTACATATAGAGCCAGAACCAAATGCTTTTAAAGTGTGTATGTAAATTTAGTATTTATTGCAAAATGCTAGTAATTTGTTATTGGTTTTATGATTGTGAGTGACAAGTGTTAAACAGATATTACAATCAATTGTACGAATGTGAATACAACCTAACTTGGAGAACAGATGTTTATGCAGACTTTGTTAAAAGAATGTGTGTTAATAAATTCACTAATATTCATTTTGATAATATTTATATTTTAAATCCAAACTGAAAGTAAATAAGAAAATAATAGTAACAGCAATCACCTGATGGCATATCATGTGTATCTGTTTTCTGTTCATCTTGTTTTCCCTTTTTCTTCATTTTCCTATCCTTCTGCATTTTCTTGGAGCAACCTTCTCTAATTGTCACAACTGGTGTCTTCACCTTTGGCCTAACATATTTGTCACTGGGTGTTTTTGGTGCATCAAAAGTACCGTCTGAAGAAAGATGAAGAAATGATAAAAAATATTCTCAAATGCTTTCCTGCATTACCATAATAACTTAGTATCGAAACACAGTAATTCCTAAATGTTAGCCACAGAATGTCTGATAACTTTCAAGACAAATTTTAGGGATACAACTGGCCTAGTTGACTGAGGTGATGAAATTGACTTTACAGACTTGCTTCCCTTAGTTATGACAAGATCCTTTGGTACAAACTCAAACCTGATCTAGTTAGTTTCTTCTTTTAGCTTAATGCCATAAATTGCAATATACCAGCTAAATGACGATAGCCAGTAAATAATTGAAGCTGGGCCATGAAAACTAGTGATAGATTTAATAAGCAATATCCTGCACCTTTAACCATGTCACAGAATCTGACCACTGGATGCCTGATCCATATAGTCACCTCTAAGAACAAGCATAGGTCACAGGAGGCTTTCTATCTCAGAATCCCCACAGGGCATCCATGATCATAGATTTCACCAAAGTGGTAAACCTGCATCTCCTTGGGTTTCTTCCTACAATAAGCTGACACAACTTGATATGACTGAAATACAGTGTTGAAAGCAGTGTTAAACCAAACTCACTCACTTATCCCATAATTTGTTGATGTTACAAATAATTCATGACATCAGATGATATAGTTTAATCCAAGTAATTGATTATATGTTTCTGTGTGAAAATGAGTCATCAAGATGTCACTGACTTTCAAGCCACCAACACCATTGAAATGCAAAGGAAACAAACCCTTGTGCTGTGACTTAGATGGTTGGCATGGTTGGCATGTTTGGGATGTTTTGCTTTTATTGTCTGTTCTTGTATGCTGTATCTTCTGTATGTTTTGTGCAGATGATACATGTTCCTCTTCTTGTTCTTGTGAGCACAGTGATCTGGCTGGTGTTGACATGGGTATACAGGGCACAGATATCTTTGTGCGCAGTGGAGTGAGGTTCTTAAGACTTTCATGTGAGTTGTCTTGTAATGTTGTCACAGGACCTTCATGTATGAACCTTCTGCCTAATGGAGATTCAGTCTGAAATTTCCATGAAACATAACAGATTTCAATAACAGAATGACTGGGTTGCTTTACATCATAGCATACTTTCTATGAAGATATGGACTGTATCATAAACTATTCACGCATTGATGGGCACCCAAGAAGTCTAGAGTCTGAAGAAGTGGACCTAATGTGGTACTAAACTAATACATTTCTCAAAGAAAAAAGAAATGTGCTTCTGTCACTAATCATCAGTCACATATCCTTAATGCTAAGTACTCATAGTTAAAAATGTCTGAAAGTATGTGAGATACATGTACATGTTCAGAACAACAACATAACAACTTCATACCAATTTGCTATAAAATGGATACCTGCATATACGACAAGCTGTATTGAAAATTTGCCTTTAAATCTTTTGAAAAGGGCTGCACTTTACAGATATTAATTATAGATGTGTAAACTATTACTAATATCTTCCCACCTCTTCATAGTGATCTGTCTGCACATTCAATAGCAGAGGTGAAATGACGGCAGAAGCTTTCCTCTGAAAGTTAAGAGAATTTGATACTTTTGGGTATGGCAAAGTATGTCCAACAAATACTGATTCATGTCCACTGCTAAATACTGAAGGAAAATTGTTAAAGGATTCTGTTATATTTTCATAAACATTTTTATTACACAAGCAGTCTGTGTTTACTAGGCCTCACCTGTTTCTTGACATAATTTTCATTGGACTTTAGTGTTGATATATGGACTTTTATTAGCATAGTTTACTAGAGTAGACTGAAAGAAATTTTTCTAGACTCAGGCTGCAGACTAGTGGCTTAGGCTAAAAAAAAATAGTCTTGGTTCTCAGGCACCACCCGCATCATCATAAAGTCTGAAGCATGTTTCCTTTTTATTTGATTTAAATTTAAAAAAAGAAAATCCTTAAATATTCTAAGTCCAATGGTAGTCAAATAGTGTATTCCAGTATTTATTCATCAAGGAATATATTTATGTAGGGAGGCCCTTTCCCAGGTTGATTGTACACAAATGTTTATTTAGATTACACAACTGTTCATTTGGTTACATACCGTACTAGTTTGAACAAAAACAACAACAAAAACAACACCGCCCACACCATATTTTCAAAAGCCATTGTCTGAGAACCAATTCTTTTATTTTTTTAAGCCTAAAGTCACAGACTGCATAAGTTATATTTACAGTTTCGTAATACACTGACTCACTATTTAAAAACATCAGGGATTAGTCTGACTTATGTAGACTATGAGAAGTTTCCATAGATATAAAAAACAAATGGAACATATTATAAACTCAGCTATTTGTTATAGTGAGATGACACAATAAATGAACATGAACAATGAAAGAAGTTCATATTTTTGCTCCTACACAGTCATTTTCTATTGTATTTATCAGGATCGTTCATCTTTGGAAATATTCATCAATATGCAGGAGGAATGAGAATGGATATTTTCCTGATCAGCTGAAACTTCTTTGCAATAGAGCGTGGTCCATAATTTGGGGGTGTTTATGGGGGTAGCCATAACATTTTAACAAATTTGTGGTCACTAAAATTCGCAGAAGATTCTCACCCAAGAATATGGGAAGTTTCTGATAAGAAGTCCCACCAATCTTGACTCCAAAAGATCAGTGGCATTTAGGAGATTAACCTTGTGTAAGAAATTTCGAACTTAAGATTATATCACCTGTAAAGTATTAGTTTATTCAAAACCACAGTGACAGCATGAAGTTTCAAATTTGAAAAATTAACGGGCATTGAAATTTTCAAACCCTCTCAAATGAAAACACATGAGGTCTTCTACCATGAAACAATGACAAAACAAAAGTGAACTCTTTGGTTACAGCAGAAATGATTAGTGATGAGGCATAGGTCAAGCCTAACAGTTTAGGGATCAATGAAGATTGGTATAAATGTGCATACATATTTGCCATATTTACCCAAACCATAACTTTCACCATTTTACTGAACCACTTCAATGAGACACAATGAATTCATGTGCCCAGATTACTGATATCCTTTAGCATTATTCAAACTGACATCCATATAGAAAATAAAGTGACCTTTGTAATGTTTTGTTTTAAGGTACACACCACTATTATGACATCATGAAGTTCTACAGATGGGAAGTCTAACCATTTGATGCAGAAGACATGATATCACAGTACATGATAGAGCAGTCCCAAAGGTCGAGCCGTGTTGATGTTACTGAATTTTATTTATACACTCCCTAAATATTTGTTCGTCTTGTTTCTGCCTGAAATATATTGCCACACTTGCTGTAACTAATGTAGGAATTATTTAGCAACATTTGAGAAGTAAGATCAGTTTTTCGAAACTGACAAACAGGCGTCTTTGTGAAAGAAGTACATCTGAAGAAGTATTTCTTTTCTCGGTAAGGTGGTCATCAGCAAGGTCATGGTCAAATGAAGATACCATACTAATGGCGTCCCAATCAGAATGCAAAATTTTAAAATGTCATGGTAGAATGATGTTTAACATGTTTCATATGTAGCAGGTAATAAGTATGATCCAGAATTGTTTTTCTGTTAAGTATCAGAAATGCATGTTGTCCATACATATAATACATTTACCTTGTATCAATCAGTCATCAATCAATAACATAATAATCACTTACATTTGTGCACTTTTCACTTCCAAACACAGACATCAGAGCTTTTCTTGGGTTGTATTTGGTTTGCACAAATAACTCAAAGTGCTTTCCACTACACTGCATCATATTAGGATATAGTGAGTTGATGTCCTTTTTCAGTTCAATTGAAGAGATTCCAACGTTGTCCTGTTCTGTAAGTGAGATACTGTTTTGGTACAAATGTGATGCATCTATGGCATCTTTAATCATGTCTGCCATGCTAAACAAAACAGCTGCCAAACAATGTGCTTACCATAACAAAAAGAAGCTATTCTTTGTTATCAAACATTTGACCATGTACCAAACTACTTTATCTGTCATTGATCATAAACGAAAGTATGGATTCAACATCAAATACTTTGTGAATCAAATATATCTTTCTGCCTGCTTTAGAATAAAAAGTACATATTCATTAGGCAATATGTTTAACTCATTAAGGTCTGTTCAAAATCACATCAGAGGGCACAGTTTACATCCTTCTTATGGAATGGAAGTAATGAAAACTTCTCAAATTAAACCTTGTCATAAGTCAATAACAAACTGTGTATTATTTGAAGTTTAGACACAGTAAATACAGCTCTATTTTTGTTGTTATAAGTATCCAGGAGAGAAGCATATATGGAACTGCACCTGTGTAGCTGTAACACTTCACATCACCCAACGATACACTGACTGTCTCCCACAAATCCAGTTCCCCTTGACTCTGAAATGATAATGAATACAATCATGTACTTGCAAAATGAGACTGGGTGCTGGGGTGGGGGTCGCACACTCATCCTTTTTGAAGCATATACTACACATTTAAACATTTGGAAACTTTTTAGATGACATGGTTGACTAATGTGTAAATGTATTACCACACAAAAACTAAATCACTTGTTGATATATTTTCTACAAAAATAACATGATTACAAAATGCATATTATTTTCATTGATTTAGCACTTGTATGTTCACAAATGATTCCAAAATGCACCTCTCTTTATGTTGACATAATAAATTCCATGTGGTGACTGAGCCCATGACTCCCCATTGACTTTTATAAATGGTCAAAATTACTGTTATTTTCCTATGCACTAGTAGTTACCGGTTCTAAATCAGGAACGTTTGGCAATTTTGCATCTTTACTGCTGCATATTGAGAGGTGATAATGGTGCTATGTTAAAGTGACAGATCTCCAACAATGAAAGCAGTTGGATGGCGTCTTGTGCAAAAGTTAGATTAATGAAGCAATTGTGTTTCCACTGTGCTTGTATTCATATTTTTAAAACTTACATTCTGACTGTTGACCTCCATGATGTCTTGTTCACAGAATAATGTGATGCGCCTTGTGCCATAGTTGAAGTCTACCCAGAATTCATTATAATCATCATCATTAGGTTTATTGAGCTGAAAGTATAGCAATGTGTCTAAAGTAATAAAAGCACCTTTATTGTGTTGTCTATCTGTATTTTTCATTGAACTTTTCTCATCATCACAATTTGTATATCATATTTCTGTCATGGTAAAAAATTATATTTAAGGAAAGTTAATGTTTGTTTTTGGGGGGACAAAACCTGACCCCAACAACACAATAGAGTAACAATGTCCACTTAGTAACAGTCATATATTTTTGTATATATTTTATCATGAGAGCACGAAAGAGCAGTGAGCATGTCAATATTGTTTCTATAAGATATGTTTAAATTACTCATAAAACTATGTTAGACAGAGAGTAGTAAGATGATTAATTTGATATAGATGCTTCTTTGTTGGTAATGAATACAATACAAAATGCTTCAAACATTTTCCCATAATATGTAACCATTGTCCATAAAGAACCAAAGCCTTAGCTTCAACCAGTAACATCACTGTTCATACAAGCAATGTTTTGGTGATTCAGACCGCTTACTCTTGATTCTATCAATCAACAACAATATCATGTATCATAATGTGTGTTGTTTTCCTACTTGACACATGCAAAATGCAATGCCTTACTCTTTAGATGAAATTTACTGTTATGTGGCTAAAGTAATTCATCGAAAGAAGACTCAAGTTGCCGGTAAACTCAAATGATGTTTACTTGTTCACATCAAAACAATAACTAACAACAAAACAGTATTACTATGATGACATCATCACAACACACAACCATTCCAAACTACATTTACATTGCGTTCTATTTATAGAAATATCTCCAGGTTTAGAGTTACCTCCCTTACATCATCATATTACCTTTCTCATCCCAAAGATTGCCTTTTCACATGGAACTGAGTAGACTCTGAAAAGACAACTGTATGAAATAGTTGCTAGCAGAGGTGGACAACATGTCATACTAACAGGCTTGATTTCAAATCAGTACGTAGATCTACATACATTTAATTTTTCATGAGGAAATATGTTTTAATGGGACCCAACTCTCAAGTCAACTCTGTCTGTTGCTGGTAAAATTTGCATCTAGCCAGATCACCTTGCAAATGACTTTCATCATGCAGAATATAAAACCTAACCCATGTTGGTGCATATGTAATAATAGTGTAACTACTCATTCATTGTTGTTGAAATATAAGGGGCTCCTAGGGACCTTGAGGTTTGCTTTTGTAGTATTTGAATCTAGGGACCCCTAAATCTTTAACATTAGGGTAATGACATAGTTTGCTGCGCATTGACCTGAAATACTTTTTAGCCCAAATAGTGATAATATATTAAGGATACCCCATAAAAATTCCACTAGTGCTAAGATACCATGAACATTAGATAAAACTGGCATGTGCCAAGGAGCTAGTGTAAAGTTGCATGTCTGTGATGATGGAAATCAACAAGGGGTCCTTAAGGTTTTGTCCTATGGTATTTTAATCTAGGGGCCTCCTAAATCTTTAACTTTTAACATGAGGATTGCAAAGACCCCTTGTCTTTCATGCCTAATTTTAATCACTGCAACCTGATCCTGTTTTTGTTTTCGCTGCATCAAATGTACGTGAAAAGATTTTTGAAAATATCTGTTAACGCTAAGTCGATGGTACACATGCTTTGCAAATCCTGCAATCAACCAACATTTGAACAGCAGTTTATGAACCTGATGTTGACTTCGTTACACAATTTTGATTGGACTATGCATAGACTGGTTAAATAACTCCATAATTCCAGACTAGTTCGGCAAGGGTGGAAACAGGACTTTTATAGTCAGTTAACTCCCTTGCCTCGGGCAGGCAGACAACCATAGGTTACTGGGGACCAATTCTATCCATGGGCCTCCACAGGAAAGAGACATATTGTGACAAATTAAAAGTCATTGCAGATTGCAAAGTTAATAGACATGCCGGTCTTATCAGTAATTTTAGCTAAATCATGTGATCATTGATCTACTTCAGCATTTGAAATGAAAGGGGTTCTGGGGCCCTTGTTATGTGTTAAATCTTTAACTTTACACACAGACTTATGACAAGTTGACCCCTTGATTTTCATGCTTATTGTACACTGTTCTTGATTTTGACCAATTAGGTTTGTTATTTATATTTATGTCTTTTATGAGGATAACTATCGATTAACCAAATGAGATCAAACTCCATCAATATTTGCCATCCCCAAACCAAAAATATTCAAAGCATACAATGGGGGACCATTGTTCAGTTTGACTGGTTCAAGACCACCAGAACTAATTATCCATATCCCACCTGCTGTTGTTTCCTGCTGCTCTGTTGACTTCATTCAAAAACACTCTGCAATCCTTTGCAACACAAAATGTACTAAAACAATTAAAATAGTTTTCATACTGCAAGCCAAATGACACAATTTTCTGTGTCCTTACACAAATAATGTTTCAGCATAGACAACATATAAAACCATTTCCACTAGTCCCAGCGATAACTCCCTTTAATACTAGGTAGACTTTGCTTCTTGGTTTGTACCAAATATTTCTCACTGTACTACTAACAAAGAATGATGCCAGTTAAAAGTCATAATCTGTAGATATCATTTCTTAATATAGTCATCATTTCAAGGCTAGTTTTGCTTATGACAAAATTTATACAAGTTCCACTTTTGGAAAAAATACTGAACAGTTTTTATGATACTAAAATCAATTTTCAAGATTTCATTTCATAACCAAAAGAGCAATATGGTTTGTTGCCCACTAAGTATGACACAATCAGTGCCAATTGTGCATTAAAGAAGTCCTTTTTCCTTTGTCATTCCTTGCTGTCTGTACAAAATTCTATGGATCCTACTTTGATGAAAACAGTCAGTGCAAAAAACTGTTCAGTCCACCAGCCCAAACTTGGCTCTTGCCATCATGTTTCATACATTTTAGTGTTATAACATGGTCTATTATTAGCTAAGCTTACAAAACTGATCTGAATTTTACTGGACTTGTCCTTCTGACTAGTGGCTAAAGTTCCAGCCTCATAAAATGGTCACTATTTATTGTAATCATGTCCTTGTCATTTTATATATGAGTCATTTCCAAAATTTGTGAGATTTTTTGTTATATGTTAGTATCTCATTGATTATGTTATTCTAAAAATGTGTTTTAATCTTAATTTTTATCTTATATATGTCTGCACATACTACTATATACAAAATAGCTATATATTATAGTTAAGCTAAAAAAAATGACTTTGAAGGGTCAAATTTTGCCCATTTTAGCTTGTCACAAGCCTGATGGCCCAACTTCATGATATTCAATTTTAATCCCAAATAAGTTTTTGTCAGACATTTTTGCATATATCTATAAAGATGATCTTAGATTAAGTATAACAAATAATTTAAATATTTTTGAATGAAAAATATATGATTTTTTTCCGTTTTTATGCTTGTCACAAGGTTACATGTCACTACTGTTATCAGAACTAAATAGTTCGAATAAATGGCATCTTCCTAGCTGACTGCTTAAACTACTTCCTGTTCCAAAGCCTTGCTTTTTGGATGTCAACATTGCTGCACCTGTTTTTTGGAGACCGCAGAAATAAAAAAATTACAACACATAAGGTGAGTCGTTTTTCATATCTCATGTTTTGTTATGTCACTACTGTTACTGGGCTTGAAAGAAAACCTATGTCATATAATTGTTGTGTGCATATGTGTACTGATTTTCCATTTTGTGTATAGTTTGGGAAGCATGTGTCTTTTGATCCTAAGGGACCAACAATTATTTTAGAAATGAAAGTTAAGTGATTTGTCACTAATGTTACGGTCACTACTGTTACAATGTCATTTGTGTTATAATGTAACAGTGGGGACAGACATTGTAACATTTGGGACATATCGTCAGTTGAACTAGTATTCTGTAGGAAAATAGGAAAGAATAATTCATGGCTGTTTGTACAGATAATTATCATAATGAATACAATGATTTTGCTTGAAAGTTCTGAAAAATGCACACATGCATGGCCAGAAAACAGACAATACGGCAAGTATATGTAACAGTAGTGACGAAGGATGGTAACAGTTGTGACTGAAATGGATTGCAATACAGATTCTGCTTTACTTACATATCAATTCAAACTAATATATGTTGTTTCAATTAAGTTTTATGAATTTATTTTCAAAATTACCAAATTTACATCTGTGATTGCAACAGTAATGAGTATTTTAAATACTTGTAACAGTAGGGACACTTAATTGTAACAGTAGTGACGAGATTTAGAGATTGTAACAAACTTTGACAAAAGTGCATTGATAAAAGTGTTAGCTAATTTTCATAGCTGTTTTGAAACAATAATATATGTAAGCTTGACATTGCTTGACAGATTTGTTTGAACTGATTGACATAATTGTTCTAATTTCATACATTTTAGTTGCTTTGTAACAGTGGGGACACAAAATGTAACAGTAGTGACAACTGATTTAATGTTGTAAGAAAATGATTTTGGAGATTAAGTTTTACAGTTGCAGAGAATTACTTTCAAAGTGCATTACTCATTAAAAACTGTTTCACAAAAACTGATACCGATTTCATTGAATTACCAACAGTTTTACTTGAAGTGCATATGTTGTAACAGTGGTGACACTGAATTGTAACAGTAGTGACTAGAGATTTTACAATTTGAAAGAATATGTTGTAACTTAGTGTTTCTTCATTTTAATACGTGTTTAAAACGTACCTCTTTAAGATTTAAAAAATTGACTTCAACTAAAATATTGGTAGACATTTTTTCTCCAATATTATGAGTTAAGTGGTTCTGTAACAGTAGTGACAAAGGGTTATAAGGGTTTTGACCAACTGGTTACAAATAGGTTTATGTTTTGAGTAGTGACAATGGGTACTGTAAGATTAGTAATAAGGCATCTTGAAATCCAATATATTCCGTTTGACGTCTTTGAATATTGTTTATGTTTTCCTTGTAATATTTCAGAAGACTCTGATGGCTTTGATGTAATTGTCAACATAGTTTCTCCATTCAGCTAACACATGTAGTGACTAGGGTTGTAAAATTTTCTTTAAATGTTATGTTTTCAATCATATATTTGGCTTTTTCAGTGCAAAGAATCAAAGATGGGTATGAATGCGGTGGAAAGCCAAAGGCATTACAGGCAAAAGGAGAGATGGCACTCCAGAAGCATATTCATCTCTGGACAGTTTTGCACCTATGACACCAGTGATTAGAGACAATTTGGAAACACCTATGACACCAGTGAATCCTGGTCAATCCATGATGCGGGATGTTCAAGAGACATCTTCACCCCTGGACAGTTTTCAAACACCTATGACACCAGTGAATTCCAACAAATCCATGACGCAGGATGTTCAAGAGACATCTTCACCTCTGGACAGTATGGAAACACTTATGGCACAAGTGAATCCTGGTCAATCCATGATGCAGGATGTTCAAGAGAGATCTTCACCCCTGGACAGTTTGGAAACACCTATGACACCAGTGAATCCTTGTCAATCCATGATGCAGGATGTTCAAGAGACATCTTCACCCCTGGACAGTTTTCAAACACCTATGACACCAGTTAATTCCAACAAATCCATGATGCAGGATGTTCAAGAGACATCTTCACCCCTGGACAGTTTGGAAACACCTATGACACAAGTGAATCCTTGTCAATCCATGATGCAGGATGTTGAAGAGAGATCTTCACCCCTGGACAGTTTTCAAACACCTATGACACAAGTGAATCCTTGTCAATCCATGATGCAGGATGTTAAAGAGAGATCTTCACCCCTGGACAGTTTTCAAACACCTATGACACAAGTGAATCCTTGTCAATCCATGATGCAGGATGTTGAAGAGAGATCTTCAGCTCTGGGTGAAGGGGAAGATGGAAAGTCCCATGTTAATAATGTTTAAGTTTTTTTTGTGAGTTACCCATGTCTCAACATTCTTCTACAACAACGTTTGTTTTGAAAATGTTTTTTGTCTTAAAACCGACAGGTAAACCAGTGAGACAGGTTTTTTCATTCAAATTAAAGCTTATTCAGTTGATATGATGTGTTTGTGTTTGATAACATTGTTTGTTGCATTGAAAGATGGAATGTGGAAGTCATATAAAATTTCCTCTTTCAGCAAAAAGTCACTACTGTTATGCTTGTCACTACTGTTACATGTAATGTCACTACTGTTATCGGCCTAAATTATAGAAAATAATTATTATTGTCCTTTTGTTTTTTGTTTTATCTGTTATTATCTAATAAATAAGCATGTAACTGTATGTTCTGAAAGAAATCTGCCAGAACAAACAATGTTTTAGTACAAGAAGACTTGTGTCATAACTTAAAATTTTATCAAAATGTAAACTGACAAATCAAAGCTTACCATATTTTTTCATATTTTCTTCAATTTGGTTTGTTTTGACTTTTCTGTGTACAACTCTTCGCAGATAATGATATTATCACTAAAAAGCCCAGTTCAAATAACAATTTTTCAAAAAATCCTTACTTTACAACATGTAACAGTAGTGACTTGTAATTTGCATATTTCGTTTTTAAAAGTCTACAAAAGCAATATTAGGATTCATTAAGGTTGCAAACTCTCTACCTTAACTCTAAAACATGTTGTTTTGGTATTAATGAACCAAAATCAAGGAAAAGAAATATTTGTTTTTTGAAATTCAGAGGCACCAAAAATCTCACAAATTTTGAAAATGACTCATTATATGTAGCATGTAATACTCACTGTTTCAAAATTGGCATCACGAATATCCAAGAAACTATCCAAAAAGCACCTCTGTATGAACTTCAATGCATACTGAGCTCTCACTTTTCGGGGCACAAGACGAAAAACGCACTCTAACAATCCAATTTGAAATTCATAGTCTACAAAGAAAGCAGAGAAAAGAATGTCAACACAGCTGAATTTCTTTTGTTAATTTTACGTAATGTGACAAATTATTCATTTTTCAGTTGGACTCTTCTTCAAGATCCTACCCAGGTAATAATATATAGCTTTCAAGCTACCTATATAAAAAGCCTTGCAAAATATACCAAAAATGCTCTGCAAAAGGAAAAATGGACCTATTTTTTTTTTGAGACAATATGTAATTATTGGTATTGATTGATGAAAAAGGTCTGTCTGTCTTAAATGGGAGCTATCAATAAACGAATAATTTTATTTATTATCTTGTAACTAAAACAAGAGTCATCATAGATAATATATTCCCCAAATACCCTGTTTGTTTCTGAGAGGCCCCTCTTAATTTCTAACACTGTTAAACATGTTGTATGTAAAGTAGATAAAAAGTAAGCCATACCTCCAACTGTTACGATAAGCTGAAATAAACGCTGTCTGAAAAACAAACAAGAGACTTTAGTTTAGTCTGATTTCATCCCCAAATGATGACATACAAAGGTAAGCTTTATACATAAATTGGACAGGCTTATTTTAACAATATCTGTACTGACAGCAACTAGTAAACTGTCACTTTGTAATACAAAATTATCACAGTAGGGGAAATAAACTGTGAAGGTAATATCGTCTTGTAACCACACTGACTGTTCATTTTATTCACTCAGCTCACAATTTCTCAATTATTTCCATCTTCTTCAACAAAATTTCCTTTATTGCAAAAGGACAGGTCTCAAGAATGATGTTCAGTGATCTACTGATCTGAAAGGAAATAAACTGTGTTAAGATAAAGTCTTCACGATGTAAAAGAATGACTGCTCTCACATATATGTATTGAAATTTGAATATGTATGACAGTGACACATCAATCTATAACATGATTAAACATGTCTAACATATCTATTTCTTCAATCTTGAAAATCATGACTCTACAATGTCACATTTTCACACACGAAATTAAGCACAGTAATAAGGAAATAACATATGTTAGTTGCAAAACATTCGAGTACAAGTTTGTGGCAGACCCTGGCAGAATCAACTGTCCATGACAGTAATCATTTTACTTCAAAGATTCCAGTGATATTGCTAGAGACAAATGGCATTAGGACATTCCACTATACCATTACCAAATTTGAAAAAAAATAATGTTTAGGGCATTTTGGATGACAATCAGTCAGTCCTGGTAAATATACTCTGAAACCCTGCTGTTACCCCCAATCAAATAAATTAAAAATGGTACTTTTTGATAAACAGATTCTGTCATTAAAAGTGGTTGATAGCAATGTTATAATATTTCGGCAGTGGTTGATAGTTCTGTTTGGGAACTCCAGATAGGTTCCAGAATAGCAGCATAAGCTTAAGGCACATGTTAAGCACTTGTCTGATATGCAAACAAAGTTTCTGTTATTGAATGGTTAATTCTGGAGGCAAGGCGTAGCCTGTTTCAATATTCCTTGCGAACTACATTTGGGTGGGTAATTCAACATACCTCTGTTTTCTGAGATAAGGAACAGAAGTCTCCTAAAAGAAGATCCAAATATGGTCCACAGACAGATTTTAGCATATAGGCTTGCCCTGAAAATGTTAAAAAATGAATGAAATAGATAGTACATTCTACTGCTTATTCATAATTTAGGGCAGTTGGTAGCTAGTATACTGCTGACTTTTCTACACCCATAGATGGCAAACTGACTGTACTGTATAGGGTAGGATATAACCACTAGCTAGGATATAACCACTAGCCTTGACAAAATTGCAAAGAATTGTGGCCAGAATCCCATGATCATGAGTTTACTTCTTAGATACTCCATCATTGTCATTTTTGGTTGATCAGCACCATAACTCTGATATAACATTTCTATCAAGGGATACCCTAAATATTTCATTTATAACATTAGGTTTATGACATGGACTTCTTGACTTTGTGCCTCAATTTCAAACCCTGTACACTTATGTATAGACTGAAATTTGTTCCAAGTAAGCCTGGTGTTTCCAGCCTACTGCAGGGTACTTCACACTTTTATGCCTTTGATTGATTCCCAGTAACCTTGTAGCCCTATATCAGTACCGGTACAGCATCCATGCTTGGTTTGTTATATCCGACAGTTCATTATAAGCGTGTTTGTTATAAACGTAGATTACTGTAGATGAGTTTGTGGGGTAGTATAATTAGTTTGTTGCTTCAGTGTATGAAATTAAGGAGCAGTCCCTGCTGTATTCTGCAATTCCTCTGTCGTGGAATATTTTGCAGAAATGCCCACTTGTTGCAGAAATGTACCTATCAACCAGAAAATCACATTCATCTGTTGCAGAATTATCAAATACACTGCAGAATTTTAACATGTTGGTCAAAAGCTGGTTTCAAATGTGTAAACAGATATTTATTTCCTTTAGAAGTAAAGTGGACCTTTGTATTATTGTTACTGAAAGTTAAATAAGATATTCTTTTAAATAAGATATTCTAGCCGTGGATAAGTTTATCATAAAAGTGCCTACCACAAGGTGCAGAACTATGAAATTAGAGAAAATTAAGCTTAAAAGTTTGCGGAATTGTGTGCAGAATTATTAAGATTTGGTTGTAGAATTTATAAATGTTGACCACAGACTTTTGATTTTTTTTGCCTGCAAAATACAGGTGGGACTGAAGGAGGGAGGGTCTTGGGGTCCTTGAAGTTTGCTGCTATAGTATCCTATAATCTTGGGACTCCCATAATCTGTTACTTTTCACATCAGGGTTATGACAAAGACCCCATCAACTAAATGCCTTATTTTTTAACACTGTTGCTTTATTCATTGTCAATAAAAATTCAATTTTTTGAAGCAAGACTTTGCTATTTTCTTAGAGTAATAGACTTATATCTTCAAACCTGCAAACAATCATCAATTCTTCACCAATTCCTAAAAGCACTACCTGATACCACAGCAAGAGAAATAAACTACAAACTATATTAGTTCTACACTTATACATCTTGTCAAAAACCTACTGACTCTACTACACCTTTACTTCGTTCTTAGTTACCTATCATATATTGCCTGGCCAGTCACTCCCCAAAACCAGTACACTCCCCTGAACATATATTCATTTTTATCCAAGCGTCCTCCTACATGCATACTCACCATTTGCTCCAGATTCAGAAATCAGCTGGAACACAGAAAGCGCATATTTAATGTAAACATATTACCAATTATGACTGCACAGTAATACTGGTATACTGTAGGGTTCGGACGATACACCAACTGCACAATCCAATATGTATCAATTCATGATACCTTGCTCATGATCCAATATGTACCACAATACTTGCATGTGGTCTTAATCTGTTGTCCATAAGCTATCTGACACACTGACAATTTATAGTTGGTTGTGTCAAGTGTGGATCAATAGGTGAAAATATTTACAATTTCACTACTAATTTCCACGACTAAAGTAGTTAGAAATGCTAGAAAAATGCTTATTGCACCTTAAAACAAGACAGAATGTCTCAAATACTGATACTTTTAAAATATCTAGTATCTACTGATCTACCTACCTGTTGTTTGAAGTATTTCAGTCACAAGAAGAAAAATTCCGAAGAAAACTGCAAGTCTAGGATTTGTTTAGAGTCCAATGAAGGAAGTCTGAGACGGACTATAGAAATATGCGCATATGACTGACTCTGTTATAATCATAATTTTGTTGTCTGTGCGAACTGCTTAAACTCGAAAGCGACTTTTCTCTCATGTAGTCATCTACCCTGTATCCATCATGACTATAAAAAGGCGGCAACTGACCATGCTGACTTAACATCGTAATATGTTCTTTAGTAGGCAAGAAATGATCTGCATTACAATCAGTGTCAATCGCTATCAAACACTTTAGCTCCTAATATATTGCAATCCAGGCATCTGTTTCACAAGATACTACAATACAATATTTTATGCCAATACACAGCCCCACAATCAAGGTCACTGAATTGTTTTCATGAATCTGTTTATGTACTCTTTTGTTAAAAAAGATCCATAGAAATCATATCATAAAAAAAAATAGTGTAAGCATGCATTTAGCAAATTAATTTCATTCATTACATCCACAGAATAAGTTCATTATTTTGCTTATCTCACTCTTTATAAGTTAATGTGAGTCAAAATGTAGACATACAATACGTACATTTACTGTGTCCAGTAATTCCTCGAGCAAAGGCGCTACACCTTCTAGGTTGGATACTTCACTGAAGACACCAATTGATTCCACCATCTGCAAGGAACAAAATAAAAATTGTCACCATAGTAGAAGTAACCTTTTATCAAGTAGCCATTGGAAGTAATTGTACATAGCAGTAGTTCAAAATACACTCTGCAAAACAAGAAATGAAAAAGTGATAAGATTGTAAATATCTGACAGACTGTTGCCAACATCCTTACAAAATTAAATACCACAAATAAATTGATCGATTTTTACATGGATTGGGATTGATTTGAGTGGAAAAATGAGGTTCTGCAGAAATTTGATGAAAAGATGGGAAAATTGCAAAAACGCAACCATGCAAGAGCCTGACCCAAAACACACCAACATGACATGCCCATGCAGCATCACTTGTTGGGCTATTAAAACATAGGCTTTTCATTTGCATGCCATCACAATCTTACAGCAAGTGAACAGCAAAAACATGCCACGACTGACAGAAGCCCAATGCAACAATACCATCGGCAGACTGCAAACAGGAGAATAATCTTCAGCAGTAGCCAGGTTTTTCCATGTGGTACCATGTACCATTACAAGACTGTGGAACCATTATCAGACACATGGGACATGGGACAACGTATCACTACTAGAGCACAGGACAGATTCATACGGCTACGTGAAACCCTGGCCACCTCTACAACTACGGCAATACCAGGTTTGTGTAGGATATCAGCCCAGATAGTGGGGAACTGTTAAGGTATTCATGCTAGATGACCAGTTCTAGGTGTCATTTTGATGGACCTGCATCATCAGCTGCAATGTCAATGGTGTCCAGGTCACAGAGTATGGCCACAACTGCGATGGCAACAAGTTTGGTTTAGTGCATCGCCATGCGGATGGTAGACGTCGTGTTTACAGGTGTCACGGGGAATGTTATGCATGAAGCTGCATGCAGGAAGTGAACAGATTTGGTGATAGTGTGATGATGTGGGAAGGCATCTCCTACACTTGTGCAAGTTCTGGGGAATGTAACAGCACAATGTTACACGGATTAGATTCTTCGGCCACACGTCCTGCAACATGTGAACGTCATTTTCCAACAAAGACAACGCCTGACCTCACATGGCAAGACCGACAACAGCCCTTTTCAGGAATCACAACATCCTGGTCCTACTATGGCCCTCAACGTCTCCAGATTTCAACCCCATCAACCATTTATGGGATGCACTGGATCAAAGACTGCAAGCACGTCAGCAACCACAGAACCTCTAACAGTTGACACAAGCACTGTAGGTAGAATGGTTGAATACGCCACAAAATTCAGGATCTCCTTGCTTCCATGGGATGATGATGCCAGTAAGTTTTGGACTAATGATGGCCATACAAACAAGAGTCATCAGAAAGATTACATATCCCCCCGGCAGCTGTCTGTAAAGTAACCACTAGTAAATGTGCAATTCTGTATGTAATGTGTCAAGAGTTGAATGTTCTTTAAGAAGCATACATTGTTTACCAACAAAAGATCAACCATGGTCGCATCCATATGAAATGAAAAGTAAAATGTGTGTTTCTGTGGGTTTTTTTTATGCAAACAAATGACAAATTGCAAGAAACAAGCGTATAGTCAACGAAGTCATCTATATCCCCCACCCATTTTAACACGTTATGGTCCCAAACCAGGTAACTGACCCAACATTTCTCTTAGCCCATGTCAAAATAGCTGCAATGGAAATTCTAAAATAAACATTTCTAAAACTCCTTAATATCAAATGGCACCTGTTCAGTATGTACTTTATATATGGACATGCAATGTTTGGCAAGGAAATATTTAACAGTTTATTTGTTATACTCCATAAGTGAACCCACCCTATATGAAAACTTAAATCCAACTTGTTGCCATGGAAACATAAAAAAAAAAAAATCCTAAATAGCAAAAGGCACCAGTTCAGTATGTGCCTGGTAGACATGCAAAGTTTTGTAAGAAAGTATTCAACAGTTTTTGAGTTACGCTCCGGAAACAAACACCACCCTTTTAGAACCTAAGTCCAACTTGTTGCCATGTAAACGTAAAAAATAAAAATTTCTAAAATTCCTAAACAGCAAAAGGCACCAGTTCAGCATGAGTCTGATAGACATGCAAAGTTTTGTAAGAAAGCTTTGAATGGGTTTTGAGTTATGCTCCGGAAACGAACTCTACCCTATAGAACCTAAGTCCAACTGGTTGCCATGGAAACGTAAAAAATAAATACAAATTTGTTTCCTAAATAGCAAAAGGCACCAGTTCAGTATGTGCCTGGTAGACATGCAAAGTTTTGTAAGAAAGTATTTAACGTTTTTTGAGTTAGGCTCCGGAAACGAACACCACCCTTATAGAACCTAAGTCCAACTTGTTACCATGGAAACATAAAAAAATAAAAAATTCTAAAATTCCTAAATAGCAAAAGGCACAACTTCAGTATGTGACTGATAGATATGCCAAGTTTCAATCAAATACACTGAATTATTTTCGAGTTCTGCTCCGGAAAAGGAAATGATTACGGACGGACAGACAGACTGGCTGATCGCTATATCCCCCCGCATTATATGCCGGGGGGATAAAAATTGAGAACAGATGACCTTAACCTTGAAAATCTACAGTTCCATGTGTGCCATATGGAACAGGGGTCGGGAACCAGGGTCAATGACAATGATGTGTGCCAATTTTGAACAATCAATTACCATCCACTGATTATTTATATGACATATAAAATATACATCTACAATAACTTTTGGGTTTCTTTATCATGTGTAGAGTATATATATATGAATACCGCCATTCAGAATCAGTAAAATCAATGAATATAATATTGCATCATTGTCCTTTCAGTGTATTTGTATGAATTCATTATATTTACCAAATTGGGAAGTCCTGCTTCCAAAAGCAAACAGAATGTTGCTTCATCCTCTCTGCACCTTTTGACCAGCTTATCAACTTTTGACAGGTATTGCTTCAGGCAGTTGATTCGGTTATAAACCGGCACAGATTGGGGATATATCTGATAATAAAAGAAAAAATCTTAAAACTCTAAAATACATAAAGCTAACTTTCACAGCATCTATGTAGACTGTATAACTAATCCTGTGCAACAAGGAGGATATCTTTTATATTGCATGTTGTTTGCAAATGGATAAGGTATGTAGATACATTTACTGTCAAATACTTGATATCCTGAACTTTTATTTAACAAATGGTTATTATGACAAGATTCTAGAGGAGAACACCAAAATGTCATTATGTACCAAAAGCTTTCAGTCAATTAACTATACTTTGAGTTCTTGCATATATTTTATCCTATCTTCAGGTTGGTTTTTCGTTGGTTTGTTGTTTTACGCCGCACTCAGCAATATTACAGCTATATGACGGCGGTCTGTAAATAATCGAGTCTGGACCAGAAAATCCATTGATTGATATCATGAGCATTGATCCACGCAATTGTGATCGATGACAACCAATTCAGCGAGCCTGATCACCCGGTCCTGTTAGTCGCCTCTTACGAAGCATAGTTGCCTTTTATGGCAAGCATGGGTTGCTGAAGACGTATTCTACCCCGGATCTTCACGGGTCTCTATCTTCAGGGGTAGGGGTGGATTTAACAACAAATTTTATGTAGCAAGTAGGGCTTCCTCTTTTTAGAAGTTACTGGCCCTTCTCCAAACCTACTGACCCACTTCTAAAAGATGGAGGCTGCAAAACGACCGAACATAAGGTCGTGTAGCAACTGACATGCCCTTCAAGATATATCTTTCACTGAGTTAACCATTCACACGGCCTCCCACATCTAAATATTTTCTCATTGAATTTACACAATTCGCGAGTTGTCCAATTAAAAAACTTAAATATATATGTAGAAGGAGAGAAATTTTGACTAGCTAGATGGGCCATTAACTTTACATTTCAGCAGGCCCTTTGTAAGTTTAACTGGCCATGGGCCAATGGGCAAGTGCTAAAATCAACCCCTGATCTTACAGGCGATCATAGTCTGATTTTCAAATAGCCCATCAGTAAATTGCCTGGAGCTACAGTCTAGTAGAGAAAAGCGTTTGCATGTACATGCATGTAAGTATGTCGTTGCATATTCATAGTATAGTTCAAAACACAATAATAATAATAATAAAAATATGTAAATTACCTTTGCAAAATTGATTTCCAAGGAGGCTGATTTACTGTTTTTGTGTCCATGGATAATGTCATCAAACCCTGCAAACAGCTTTGCTCCTTCATCCATGATAAGGCCTTCATGTAGAAGATGAGGTCAGGAATAAAGTCACTGGTAAGTTAATAGTACTGTGGAACAGTAATAGTCATTAGTGAGTAATGTTGAACAATAGAAGGTTACATCCAGTGATATTGTTTGAAATTAAGGATAAATACCATGGGGTTCTTGTCATTACCATGATTGCTAATATTAAGAAAGTTTTTTAACACAGCTCATAGTTATCCTTTAAAAGGAAACACTGAATGCACAGTATCCATAATGTTTAGAAAAAACTTCTGAGACATGACAACTCATAGGATTTATAACATATATCAAGTGATTTAACCTCATTTTAACCTGCACCAGTATCAGTGTACACTTAAGTTACAGGTTTATAATCTTGTATGAAATTCTCTCTCATCAAATAAAAAGTAATTCATGCTAAAGCTTGGTATTAGGATTCATCTCACATAGGCTTTGATGCGAAAAAGCTGCAAATGTTTTGAAGTAAAATCAGAAGTGTTTGAAGCATCTGTAAAATACCTACTTTGTACCATTCACTAGTTTCAGAGAGAAAAGTGATTGCTCATACATTCAAACTCTCAACTCATTACAGAAAACATGTTACCATAAAGGTTGGATAACTTATAACTTGAATCTGAAAGGTAACCCTGAATCATGCATTTTGTGTATGTGGTCACAATGCAGGCATAGGCAGTAGGCAGGTTGTACTTACTTTATTTTGGCATGAAATATTTCTTTGAAATATCAGGGACTTAGACTACTTTCAAATTGGAGGAGATTTTAAAATTCAGTTTGTAAGAATTAATGTTTCTTTATGACAATCTGAATCATAACTTTGTTACCACTGTCAGACTGAAAAAAACTTGGATAAAAAAATCAGTCAAATGAGATCCTGCAGTTGGTGGACAAAAAGCATTTCAACTACATCTGAGCAGCATGTTTACCTGGGCAAGAAATATTGCAACTTAACACAAATGGTACAGTACTACTCATTCTTATTCATTTCCTTTTCCCAAGATCCTACTGTTTACAACAGTTGCAAATGGACTTTACCATGATTTTTTACCAGCCAACAAAGACAAAAAGAAACAATTTGAAATGAATTATCCCATTTTTTAAGGAATATGAATCAGGCAAACCAATGCCTCAAGCAGAATAAATATTGGTTGGTTTTGTAAATAATTTCATACATTTCAGAAACGGTATTTCCTTTGCCAATTCTTATCAGTTCACACATATACCGTAGCTTTAAGTTACACAAGCGCCAGGTTAGTAGGGGGCCCATATGGTAATGCCGATGACTGGAAGGGGACTAGCTGCTGTGACACTGCATGAAGTGTAACAACATCAAAAGGTTTCACCTTTCCCCGTTTTAGTTTTGATATTTTAGGAACAGAATCTATTTGAGATTTTTGTTTATGATTTTGGAAGGAATAAATAATCGTATCAAGGAAACTAGCTGTAATTAAGTGTGTGCGTTAGTTGAATGCAGCAACGTTGAATAACCGGAATGAGGCATGTTATGTCTAACTCTGAAATGATATTGCCTCAGTGTGACCCAATATATTTTCTTTTAAATGATATTAAGAAATATTTAACCTTTAACCTCAGTTAATTTTGATACATCTCATTAGTCGTCGCATTAGCTGTGATCTAAGTTTGTGACACATTATTTTACGTGCAATACATAAAAGGCCATTTTGAATAATAAATCATTACGTTTACGATTCACCAGCAACTTCTTTGTGTTAATTATGACTGAATTCATTTCTAACATATCTGTTTAAGAAAAAAAACGCACCAGTGAAAACCTATCATGATTAACAAATGGTTTGCACATTCGCTCTAGACTAGGCCCAAACTAATCCCATTGATCAATTCGAGTCCTTCCTTTGAAAAAACCCTCGGAAAACTAAGCTAATATAAGACTAAAATGAATTTAATTGACCATAAATAGTTCTTACGTTATAAGATAATGGAATCGAAAAGCAACCACAAAAATTCAATATACTTCAAAGACTCAAAACATCGACATGCCACCGGCACTTTACACCACGTGTTCCTTGCGAAATCAAAACAAAACAACCCCCGACACATGTCCCGACTGCATTATCCGGCTGATTACGGTCCAATGAAAGGCTGTGAATACCCAAATGTAGCAATGACGTCGCACTACATGGTATCGATGTAATTTTTTACCACATTTTTTACAATTCTGCGAACACTTTGAGCATAAAGTTCATTTACCTTAATTAAATTTGGTCCATTTTGACCACACACATCTGTCTATTCGCCAGCAGACGACAGGATAACATCTCACCTTTGACCTCACGTGAGAAACTACGTCATATGGCGCGAAGGAACATGTGCTCGTTGTCAACAATCAACAAACGTACTTGGAGAAAGCGTGGGGCTAGGAAATATACTGCCGCCTCGCTTGTGCAATTTTCAGAGGCAGGTGTTCTGCCGTTCATTCTATCAACAATGGACTCACAATTTATTTTAAGTCAAAGATACACATTGTTTATATTAAAATTAATACTTTTTTCCAAGCTCTTAACCATGAATTGACTACTTCTATGACGTATAACATCAGGACACACCCTCCGCCTCGCGATCCCGTTAGCTTCGCTCTCGCGCATCGTAGGGGTCTGATATTTGGCTCATATTCGCATAAGAGATTTTTTCGAATTTTTTTCTCATTACATTTAAATTTCGGTAGTTTACACATTCTATTAATGTACTTTTTAGGTCAGAATCGACTTAAAAACTCCCATTTTATATCGAAATTGAGCAAGTTTTGCGCCGAAACCCGTTTCAAAATGGACGCGCTGCGCTATTGTTGGCTGCTTTCCAGCGCCATCTAGCGACAACAATGGGCAAACTATGCCGGGAATGGGTGGGTAACTCTCATGCCTTCACCTCACTGGGGGAGGGGTCCAGAAAGTTAGAAAGTTTGTAAAAGCGTCGCACATATGTCCAAGTCCCAGAAAGGGATGAATTTTAAATGTAATTACACAGCGTGTCAAAGACAACAAAGAGGAAGAATAGGGGAGCCTTCTTAGCTACTTTCTAGGCGTATGTCAGCCGTTGCTCCTAATTTACATCTTGGGTTCCTCCACCTGGGTAACTGCATTTTGTGCTATTATTCCTTACGAGAACTGTTTGATTAATATTTATAGTTTTATGTGTCTTATATTTTTTCTTGAATATTCTTTTCTGCTAGAAATTAGAGAACTGCCCCTATGACATTAGAAGAAGCAGCTGCCCGGACGACAGTGGTGCAACAGCCCCAAGCGGACGGAGAGAGGCGCGTGAAATAGGCTTCGAAAACCCGCTTTGTTGACGCCCTAAAAAATTGAGAAAAATATCGCGTGTAATCCCATGATTATCTTGGATAATTATTACCGAATAAAAGGCAAAATCAAAGCAAAAGAAGCATGTATCGGGTGCATTGTTTGAGGTACACGCTGCGCCTGACGTCGGTGGGGAGCAAAAAGAAGCAGGTGACGGTACACACAAAGCCACAAGTTGAGATTTGGAGTCGGGTACAGAGAATAGATGTAATATTCAGTCCTAACAGATGATTTATTGCTACTTGAGAGGCAGATGAAAACTTGTCTAAACAAAGAGGTGAAACCGTTAGACGGGTGATGAAGCGGGCTATGCAGCAAACTAGGTAGGGTAGGGGTGTTCCGCTCGCAGCCACAGCCTAAAACTTGCCACCGGCCTAGCTCTTAAGATCGCTTTCCACACTGTGATAGCACCAGCCCCAAAGTGCGAAGATACGACATCATCTGCCTATGGTATCGGGCGATCCAGCTGCCGCCACCTGGACCCTTCAAATACCTGCGGCGTGAGGCCTGCCCGCATCTCCATGGCTAATTTACAGGGATAACCCTTTTTGCTCCTGGGCAGAGCAGGCCACTTTTCAGCCATCAACCCATGCCATACCTTATGCCAAAAACAGAACCAACAAAATGCACTTTGGGGTCGACATACAGCTGAAACACCCAATCAAACCTTGTGCACGACCTTAAGCTCTTAATACAACCATGTATGTAATCCAGACGACGTAACGGTTTTGACTCAAGAGTTCAAGAGCCTTGTTCTTTGAATCCTGATCTTCTGTATTCACGGTCACGTTTCCTTCATGGCGTTAAGCAAATTAGGCTTTTCACCGCCCTGCCCGTGACGCTGAGCTCAAGACCATTTTTACAGGGATCAACTTTATGGCAAAATTGAAATTTGTCCCTCATTGTGCTTGGAGTAATTGCTCATGGACATAATATGAACTCAATGCAAGCCAACTGTTTTTGTTTTTCGCTCCTAAAATGGCTAATCCAGACAGAGTAATCGACCAGGTACTTTGTCATTACACCTGCTTCGCACAGACGACGCTCATAGATGTTTCTTGGGCAGAATTTCACGTGCAAATAGAGCAATTATGCCGCGAACGTCAGGCACTACACGTGCAGCACCACTATTAGACATTTTCTACAAAACTGATTGCTGATCTGTCATAAAAATTACCAAAGTTTCCTTTGTCGCCATGAAGTGCAATCTTGCTCGGCACCTGAATAAACGCTTTGCAACATGTCGGCTCTTCATTTTTAATTCTTCGTTGAGCAATTTTTTGCTAACTTACAGAATCACAATATGTGAGAAAAGGCACTACATGCGCCCGTCCTCACAACTAGCAGATGCTCAGGTTCCGTCCTTGCTTTATGTTCAAGGCCCGTATACTCTCAAGAACATTCAAAGACATCTTCTGTCTCTCCCTTCTCCACCTCTTGAGAAGTTAAGAATCTGAACTTAATTTTGAAACCCCCTTGCACTGAAGCATGTTCATATCTTAAATTAAAGCATGTTCTCAATAATAGTCCTATGTCAACACTTTTCTCCTGACAGATATTAAGTACTTCGTTTGTGGATATGAATTAATCGAGCTATCAAATCCCACATGGACTGCAATGGCCAGTTTTAGAACTTCAAAATATAAAGTTCGAAAAGACCAAGAACAGTTAATTATAGCTCGTGGTTACGACTCGGAGAGACCGATTGATTCTGCATTGTAAATAAAGCACTCATGCATATCAAGGGGCACCTCAACTCGAGATGAAAAGAAGCAGTTCTTTTTTTTAACTCGTGCAAATGTTAACATAAGAGAAACGAAGGGACGTGTTTAAATGGTCGCTCGAACCAGGCCCACAAAAGGGCATTACAGAATGCTAAAAGGAAATACGACTTTTATCAACGAGAACGATTAGCACTCCTTGAAAGCATACGTAAATTATTTCAAAACCGTTTTATTCTTGACTCAGTGCCAGGTCTGTTTTCGTGTATAATTATCTTATTAAGTCGATGACCATTATGCCAGGCCCCCAACAGGGAGACATATCGGGGTTGCAAAGCCACATCTCGTCCCGACTCGACGTATCCGTCTTGGTGTTTTTATGCACAGGTGCTAAATATGGTCAAATGTTGCCGACATAAAAAGTACTGGTACCTCTATGTTATTAAATTCTGAGTTTGACATTTCGGCTTGCTGTCAAGACGTTTAGCACCACTTTTGCAGAAACGTATAATTAGTACCAGAATGATGCCGCACGGAAACGTGGTATTTTGCGCCGGTTCCCCCAGCAGTACCCAGTCGTAGCTAATTAAAATGGTTCGGGTATCTGGAAGGAAGCACATCTTATAATTTGTTTGTAATGTTAAGTAACAATGGCAAGTATAAAGCTGCAGTTGAATCAGGTTGAAATATTTCAGTGTCAGAAATTATTGTAATTAATTATTGTTCGTCTTATTAAAGACGCCCGTAGCACATCTGGTTAACCTGAAGCTTAGGATGGTAAGGTTATTGCAGGTTTGGCGTGGCAGCATCAGTCTATGAAATTACATACATGTGAAGGCTTTTACTTTTTTAAAATCTAGGTTTGTATGTGTTTTATATTGGTAAAATATTTTAAATATACAGAAATTGTCCAATATACCAATGTTGTTTTGTGCAAATGCTGACAGAACGACACGACCTTATCATATAATTAAAATGCCTAAAACTACAGTGTAGATAGAAGAAAATATTATATGTGGTTTGTACATGTATTTATGTGTAGTTTTTGCACTGGATTTCGTTGCCGTTTGGTCTAAGTGTCGCAATAAAAGTTTCACAGTTGCACCCCTTAGTTGGCAGGATCCGCTGTTTGTAAGACCTAATCCAAGATTTTGACCCTCGGCATGTCAGCAGCATATCCGTGCTGATGAGTTTCATGACCGTTGTAAACATCTGAGAGAGTGAGTTACGATTTAACGTCACACCGGCAATACTTCAGCCATACCGTGACGAGGTAAACATCTGTGACTTGCATTACTTATGAAACACACCGCCTCCGTGGTCTAGCGGTAGAGCGTTCGCCCGGAGAGCGGAAGGTCCGGAGTTCGAACCCGACCGCGTCATACCAAAAGACGTTAAAAGATGGTACTTGTTGTTACCCTGTCTGGCGCTCGGCATTAAGGGGCTAAAACAAGGACTGGTCGGCTCGGAGTCAGTATACTGTGTCTGAGTGGGGTATTCATGTTAAACTGCGGCATGGTATCTCAGTGAGCTAGCGCTATAAATCGGCATCAGTCCGGACTAGTACAAGCAGCCACACAAACACACACACGTACATGCACGTCGTTATATAAGTGCAATAATCTTGGACGCGACGTTAAACCCCATTTCACCTCACCTCACCTCACCTCACCTCACCTCACCTCACCTACATATGAAACACCACGTTACGACTGCCATACTGTTTAAAGCGGCGTTAAGCACCAACTCACTCACTCAACGATTTGCATCAAACGGAACGACACTTCTCGATGAATGGTCACCATGGAGAAAGGTCAAATGCATTCAAGGTAATGTTTATTAGAAGATCACGTGTCGTTAATATTGTACCAAGCCCTTGAAACCCGTGAAAACTTGGTCGGTCCTTGTCATCGTATCTCAATATTGCGTAGATCGATGCTCATGATGCTCAATCACTGTATTGTCGGGCGAAGGCTCGATTTGTTACAGGCCGCCGTCACATAGCTGGAATATTGCTGATTGCGTCGTTTAACAACAAACAAACAACGCCCAAGCCCACAGTGTCGTTAATATTGCCCCAGTACATAAAGGTAATTATTTTGTTGATGTTCGTATTTCCCAGTGTTGTCTAGAGACTGAATTGTGCCAAACTTTACTCAAGGGCACCTGAACACATACGTAGGCGCGGGGGATTCCAAACAACCATATATCCTCGAAACCATGCATAAACGGGACGTCAAAGTTCAAAGGTATCACGAAACTGCATGTATTGTCTCGTCACCTTTATGCTATGTATTCATTACCGATAACGCCCATTGATAATTCATTGTCCACATTGTACATTTAACACACGACGGTATACAGTTCACTCTGCTCCCCGTACACGTATACATGCAGCTTGTACAGCACATCGCCTTCCTGTGTAAAATAAATATACCTGCCTAAATATTTGAGCTCTAAGTCGCCGACCTGTAATAATCGAGCCTGGACTAGTCAAACCAGGGATCGATATTATGAGCAACGACCAACGACCAACGATGACGCGCTGTCCCCATGCATTATCACTCGATCCATTGACTCGCACCGTATTTAAACTAAGGGTCTGTATGTTCATTCAAATGATTGCGCCACAAGTGGCGAACGTTGTTTACGAACATTCATTTTCCTGTAATGTCACTGACGTCTGAATGTTGTGGCAGACGCTGACGTCTGGAGGTGA